TACTACTAGGCATATTAACAGACAGTATAGGTACCATATTATCTTTCTAAAATCCAAATATTGAACTACATATGGTACCAAGAATTTAGAATTAAAGACTGTGCACCTAAATTATCATTCCATTTTTTCTGTATAGCACTTACCACCATTTGCATATATAAACATACTTCTTTGCTTTTTGTATAATTCCCAGCACCAGAACATAAAGTCAAGATGTTTTATTGTTTATTGCATTCTTAGCACCTAGAAAAGTGTGTGGTCCACAGTAGGTGCTCAGAAGTTATGTGCTGGATAAAAATGGTTAAATCTGATACCCAAAACAGAATATATATATAACATTTTTCTTAGTAGAAGAAAGGTTATTTCATGGAGAATGTGTGACCAGTTGCTCTTCAACCCAGGAGGGATGGCTTGAATCCAATTCATTTGCTTGGCAATGCAACACCTGGTAGGCATGAAAAGCCCACCTGATATGTATTTCTTGTATGTTCTTCAGTGCCCAGGCATTGATCTGCTATATTCTCCTCAGGAAGTCACAAAGGATTATGGTGTCAACAATCAGTACTAACCCAAACTCCAAAACATACTATATGTACACCACAGTTTTAAGTTCATCTCCAACAAACAATTCCACCTGAAGTCCCCACCATGATAAATGAATCTGCAATCAAATTCACCATCATCCCACTGTGGGAGGCCAATTCCATTCCCTGACTTCTATACTGATATCAGTGACAATCCCCATCTCCACATCCCAAACTCAGGAATCATCTTTGAGGGCCCTCCCATGTTCCATTATGCAGTCTAGGCAGTGCTTTCACAGTTACCACTTCCATCCTAGCCTTCATCAGCCTTCACATGTCAGGCACCTGGCCAGTCACCAGGGTATGCTGAACAAGACAGGCATGGACTTGGCCTCAGAGTCTACAGGGGAAGCCAGATAATTACACAAGCAACCACAGTGAATAGAGAAAGAACACTGACCATGCAGGAATCTAGGGCATTATGGAAGCCACCAGGCTCCAGAAGTGATGTTTTGGCTGAAAGACTGAAAATTAAGGTCTTATTGGGTAAAAACCCACCTATGTAGAATAGTCAAAAAGCATTACAAGTGCAATTAACTAATATGTATACAATGAATTCTTTGGTAAATCTCTTTCATGCAAATGTAAATTCTATGAGAACCTCATCTTAATTACTCTCTTCTTGCCACAGTGGCCAATACATATTTGCTGAGTAATGGGTAGAACTGCCTCAACTCTGCTGCCTTATTCCTCATTGAGCGGAGGGAGGGGATAATGCCACCTCACAGCTCTTGTGGGGACTGAAAGAGACTACTATGTAGGTAATGCACCAGAAGTGTCTGCCACATGGTGGCTACTTAATGCAGGTCAATTCTCTCCCCTGCCCCGTTCTTCTTACTCCCACAGGTCACCATGGTTGGCACCTCAAACCTTCATAGTTGCTGTGCAGATGAGAAGTCTGAGGCTCAGAGAGATTAAGAAACTTGTCCACGGCAAGACTTGTTCAATAGTAGACATGACCATCTCATCTAGTACTGTCTGACAATGCTAAAGCTCATGCTTGAGAGACAAAATAGTGAGGTGTAGGAGCTGTGAGCTCCACTGGTGGCACATGAATCTAAGGATCTGGACAGGGAGGGACCAGCAGAGGCTGAAAGAGGCTCCAGGAGGAGATGGGACCTGAACACAACTCTTAAAAGATGAGTAGCAACTGAAGAAACAGAGAAAAGGGATGAAAGGATCAGGAGAGGAAACTACATGGGCTGCTGGCTAGATGACTTCAGGGGCAAAGGAGGCTAGCCTGGCTTCTTCTCAAAGTTCCTGTTGGGTATTAATGGGTAAGAATGGTGAAAATGGTGTGGCTGGGGCATGACTTCCAAACTGAGGAATCTGTACTTTAGCCTACAGGACGTGGGGAATTCTGAACACGGGACAATGAGGAAACTCTACGTTTCAGAAAGGTGAAGGGGCATGGGCAACCAGGATGAGTGGCCTGTGAAGAACACCACGTGATGGCACAACAGATAGGAAACCCTTTCAGAAGTCCAGGTGATAAGTTTCTGACCTGGTAATTGCAAGGACTGGTAGAGGAAACTTTTGAAACATTTCAAAGATGAATAGACTTTGATAGCTATTTCCAAAGCATCCACGTGCCCACCTCAAGCACAGAATTGGTCTCTTCCTATTGTAATTATTTCTGTGTCTGGCTCCTCACATCAGACTGTGAGCATCTAAAAGGCACTATCTAGATCTTCTGTTTTATCCTGAGTGCCCGGCATCCACAGGAGGACCTCAATAAATGTTTGCCCAACATTTGAAGGAAGAGTGAAAGAGGACATTCAGGCTTTAAACCTGGTAATAAGAGACAGGTGCCACAAGGGCAAACAAGAATGTTGGGAAAAGAAATCTCCATCTACATACGATGAGTTCGGTTTGGGAACATTCTTTCTGGCAGATTCAGAAAAAGTGACAGACAGACAAAATGTCCAAACCTAATCAAGGGAGCTGCTTACTGGGAGATGCCACTTATATTGGGAATCTACACTTTCCTTGGTTATGGAAGGGCTAAGAGAGTGGGCTCTATGTATCTAAGTTGTTATTTATGTTTCTTAGAAATCTTGCAGTCATATTGGAATGCCCAATGTCCCTTTCTTCTTTTATACAACAATCAAAGTAAAGCCTGACACAATTTCTTCGGAATTAACTAGTCTTTGTAGAAAACAGGCACACCGGCTGGGCGCGGTGGCTCACACCTGTAATCCCAGCACTTTGGGAGGCCGAGACGGGCGAATCACAAGGTCAGGAGATCGAGACCATCCTGGCTAACACTGTGAAACCCCATCTCTACTAAAAATACAAAAAATTAGCTGGGCGCGGTGGCGGGCGCCTGTAGTCTCAGCTACATGGGAGGCTGAGGCAGGAGAATGGCGTGAACCCAGGGGGCAGAGCTTGCAGTGAGTGGAGATCACACCACTGCACTGCAGCCTGGGTGACAGAGCAAGACTCCGTCTCAAAAAAAAAAGAAAACAGGTACACTAAACCTGTATGTCGATTAAGAGGGGCATCAGACAGTAGAGAAGAGGCGTGCTGCTGTCTGGGTTCCACCACTTATTACTGCATGATACTAGGTAGCTTATTAATCACTCTGTGCCTCCTGGTCATCATAGAGCTGTTGTGAGAATTAAATAAGTAAATACACATGACTGCTCACCCAGAACAATCTGGCATATTGAAATTGCTGAATGAATGTTGTTGCTATTAATCTTTAAACATTTAGGAAGTAGATATAGCTTTCAGTCCAGTTATTATAGAATAAAACTAGAAGCTACAAATCCATAATGACAAATTTCAAGTTCTTACAATAAACTTCAAATAACTATAATTTGCTTAATTTAGTAACAGCCATTCAACATTAAAGCAGATATTCACAGTACAAAACTACAAAACTGACAAGATACTAAATGAGTAAACTGACAGTGGATGTTTTCTGACTTAATTTTAGAAAATACATGCTAAAGGTATCTGAACCTGTGTTTCCTTTTACATAGCCTCATGGAATCACTCGGCTGTTCCTTGAAAACCCCGTGTATTTTCCCACCTCCATGGCCTTTGTCTTCACTAGTTCCTTCTAATCCATCTGGGTTTTCTCTCAGGCTTACTTCTAGGCCTACTTACAACAGCACCTCTTTACTTAGTTTAGCTCATCTCTCATTTGATCCTGCCTCTGCCCCAGCAAGGCAATACAGTTCTAAGAGGGCTTACAATACAGTGCTTACACAGGTAAACACCTAGGATACAGGGTCACATGCATGGCAGGGCTCATACTTCCTGGCTCTTTGTGTTCCCACAGTGAAGCACACACTACCATTGAACTGAACTACAAAAACTTTGCCTTTAGAAAAAGATTACTCACAGGGTTACTTTAATCTCCACTTCCCTTAATACCCTTGAAACAGAATCAATAATACGCAATTTCTGTGAAGTACATCACCTTTTTATTACACTTTGAGGGAAAACAACACCCAAACAGACATTAAATTAAACTTTTCCAATAAAGTAGAAAGAGACTCAAGATTGCAACACCAAGTCTTACTAAATCTCCAAGCTGCTGGTTTGCCCTATGGATTTTGGACTTGCCAGCCCCCACAACTGCATGAGCCAGTTCCTTAAAATAAATCTTTCTCTTTCTCCAAGAAGATGTAAGTGGCTCTTTTGTTTAAAAGTTTGTTCATGAGTGCTGTTCCTCTCTTAAAGAAATAATTCTACTCTGTGGTACTTTAATTAGTTGCTATTGACATTAATTATGTTACTGAATCATGAAGAGATGCCTAATCGTTCGGTTCAGCCTGGGAGTCAGGAACTCAAGTTCTAGCTTTCAAAGGGCATAGCAATTTATCTTCCTATAAAGATAGACACAAAAATGCCAACAGGTAGGTGGTTTCTTATAGGGGTGATGAAAATATTCTAAATTTAGATTATGGCAATGGTTACATAATTCTGTGACTATACTAAACCATTAAACAGTAGAGACTAAATGGGCAGGTTTTATGGTACGTGAATTACATCTTAAAGATGTTTTAGAAAAGGACACATAAGAGATTTGAATGCCTCGGGTTTTAATTACCTAAGGAGAAACTAAGAAAAAATATTAATTTTAACATTTCATTATTCTTCTGTACTTACCCCAAATGTCAATTTGCATAACCCCTACTGAGGTATTAAATAATAGAAGTAAATGTTAACTTTATGCAAATCTTATAAACATCCAGATTTATAAGCAAAAGCAGGTGACGATCATACATACTTTACAAAGGGATTAGTCATGGGATGCCTTTAAATAAGGCTCATGTAACATAAACATACTGAAAACTAATGACAACTTGCTAATCACTTTTTAGAAACCCATTCAACATTCAGAGCAAGAATTATGAACACATTAAAAAGATTTCTCCCATCAGGAATGTAAGGACTGTTTACCTTGTGACAAGGAACCAAGCAATTTTACTGAAGTCTGGAGAAGGCCTCATATATGTCTTAATATGTGGCATGGCATTGCTGCGGCCAGAAGTCTCAGCTGACCATTTGCTAGTGACAGAAAAGACACAAGTCACTAATTACAAAATAAAACAAATTGATCTTAATCCTAATATTAGGAAACTGCATGAAAAGAAAAAGCCTATTATCTAAAAATTAACAGTGGCTACACGACTCTGTGACCTGTGATATTTTATACAGCTGCGTTCAAATAATGCATGACCATTTTAGAATTATAAACTTCCCACTTCTCACAAGAAGAACTGTAACCTTTCAGCATATAGCCTTTCCATTTTTGCCATGAACATACATACACACATACATATTATTTCTGTTTTTTTTTTTTTTTTAGAGACAGAGTCTTGCTCTGTCACCCAGGCTGGAGTGCAGTGGCGCAATCTCGGCTCACTGCAAGCTCCACCTCCCGGATTCATGCCATTCTCCTGCCGCAGCCTCCCGAGTAGCTGGGACTACAGGTGCCCGCCACCACGCCCAGCTAATTTTTTGTATTTTTAATGGAGACGGGGTTTCACCATGTTGGCCAGGATGGTCTCGATCTCCTGACCTCTTGATCTGCCCGCCTCGGCCTCCCAAAGTGCTGGGATTACAGGTGTGAGCTACCGCACCTGGCCCTTGTGTTGTGCTTTTAACAGCATGTGTGCATATGTCTCCTGCCTGAACTGTGAGCTCCTTAAAGGGAAGACTCATGCTCCCATGGAGTGTTACGATAGAGGCTCAGCAAAAGCTTGTTGAATGAAACAAAATACAAAAAAGACAAAATACAAACAGTATATGAAAAAAATGAATGCTGAAAAGCGAGGGCAGAAACACTTTAGTCAAATGCTGACATTCACAAATCTGAGTTTGGTTTCTAAGTTTCCAATACTGTAGACTATGGTTCTATGGGAACCTATATAATGAAGCAACAATCCTTACTTATAGGAGGATGGTCCCCCCAGATTAACAGATCGTCTGTGAAAACAGAATCAGGCTTAGGTAGGTACCATCACTGTCTTCATTCAAGTGAATTTAATAATATAATACTGAAAGGAGTTCAATATAAAAAAATGTCCTCTGTAAGGAAAAACCTCTCAAGAAAGCATTAAAGAAAAGCTCCAGGATAACACACTGAATTACAGCTGAAAGCTATAATTCAAAGTAATTCTACTTTCATTTCTGGCTAACCAGCACAGCAAACACCTGTTGAGACAAGCATGAAACAGACTGGCCTTGCATATGCAGGCTGTGCAACTGCTGTGGCTGGAGAAGGATGAAGCACATTCCCTTCACTTGTCCACTCAGCATTTACTGAACTCTGACAACATGCCAGATACTATCCTGTATCCTCAGGAAACAGCAGCATAGAATCTGCCCTCACCAAGCTTGCAGCTGCACATATGATGGTACAGACAGAATAATAATACTTTATATTTTGGAAAAATGAACTAAAATACTGCTTATGTAAATTCTAAACTACCCAGCATGATCTTTTATTTATCTTTCTTGGCATGCCAATATTTAAATAGAAACCTCACAGCAATAAATTTTCCTCTTTGGTATTAAGAACCTATTCCAAAAAAAAATTCAAAACCTTGTTTTAAATTATTTCTATCACTAACATATGTAGATGAAAGAATATAGCTATATTACATAAAGTTCCTTTTTAAAAAAAACAAACCAGTGACATAAATAACATTCTAATTCCTAAAGAAGCAATAGCAGCAGTCTAAACCAATTACTTACTGAAAATAGGAATGCAGCCAATTCTGTTTTTCAGCTGTCTGGATGCTATAGGGAAGAGAGCCCCCAGCTTTTAAAAGAAAAATAAAACAATAAAAATTATGAAATATAATTTGAGGAGCCCTCATTAAGAGGAAAATCTATAATAAACAGCAAGAAGGTAACAGGAAAAAAACTACTTCTATTACTTCATCTTACAGAACAGTTATTTGAAAGAATATCTCTATACTTGCATTAGATATGTTCTCTTAATGAGGTTTCCTTCCTTCAGTATTAACTTTATATAAATCTTACAAACATCCAGACTTATAAGCAAAAGTAAGTGATGATCATATACTTTACAAAGTATAGTCATGGGATGCCTTTAAATAAGGCTCATGTAACACAAACATAGTGAAAACTAATGACAACTTGCTAATCACTTTTTAGAAACCCATTCAACATTCAGAGCAGGAATTATGAACACATTAAAAAGATTTCTCCCATCAGGAATGTAAGGACTATTTACAATTCTTCTCCTGTGTCGAGAATAAAAGTAAATTACCTAATTGAGGACGAGAACTCACTAAGTAAAGCGGAACAGAGCTTTTTCCTGCAAAAGCTTCAACTGCAAATAACTAAAACCATTCAGTTTCAAAGCTTCAACTGCAAATAACTAAAACCATTCAGTTTCAAAGCCAGTTATAATACAGCTTTGTTAAAAATACCACGTTTTTCCCCATTAAAAGTACACTTTGAAAAGAAAAAATTATAATTGAATTACTTGGTGATGGTAATTTAACATCTATAACTGCACAGATCTGAGGTGTTAGAATCCTGGCCCATCCTACTCTCCTTGATGCAAATAAGACACAGCTGGACAGCCTCTGTTTTTGCCCAAGACCGTGACACTTGGGGAGGAAATCTAGGACGAGATGTCAGTGCTCCTTCTACTTCACCTTTACACACTATTTCCAAACAGACTTTGTACTGGCTGAACAGATTCTGACAAACAGAAAAGAATGGCTAAAAAACAAAACATTCAGTAAACAGTTCAGTTTGAAAAAAGGAATTCTAAAAGCCTTATTCTTGCAAAGAGAATAAAGAAAGTTCCAAGTGGAAATTAGAAGTCAATGCTTGCTCATTTTTGAAATGAAGAAAACTCCACAGTGGATTCATCAGTGACTTTCCAAACACATGCTGGAACTTCTCCACACTGATCTATACCCAAAGAGATCTATATCCAAACATCTCTGACATATCAAATAGGGCATGTCCTGTCTTCAACTTCAAATAACTAAAAACATTCAGTTTCAAAGCCAGTTATAAAACAGCTTTGTTAAAAATACCATGTTGTTCCCCATTAAACATACACTTTGAATGAATCTAGCCTATTAGAGGCGCAAAAAGAGGACCAAAGAAAAACCACCACTGTATCCCTGGGTCTCAGTGAAGTAATTTTGGTTTTTCCATTAAAAAGCAAAAAAATGGGCAAATACACTCCAAACTCTAGTGAGATTTTTCTGGCAGATTTTTCTTATTGAGCCTGATAAGCAATAAATGGACTAATTCAGCACATTCTGCTCTAGCCATCAGCAAATGCCAATGCCAATTAGACTTTGCTTTTTCCAGAGACAGCCACTATTTGGGTTTTTGGTTAACACCTCCTGATTACACTAACTAGGGGGCTGCTGAATTCCGAATAAAGGTTTAGTGCCTGGTATGAGTATAAGGGAAATGGACAAGGTTGACGGATGCCTACAAAAAATCTTAGGCATTTGCAGATGAAGCCCTTGACAGAATAGACACATGAACAATGTTACGCCAAAGGCAAAATTTAAAAAATTCCAGACCTTAAATATATCTGTATCAGGCATTTAAAAGGACCATATGGTACCTCAAACACAGGAAGGGAGGATGTGGAAAGAGATGAGAGGAAGGTACGCTGGATAAGCTCTGAAAAGGCACTGAAGAGTAAGGGGAAGTTGATTTTATTTGGCTATCTTGTCTGGACAACTAACCTGCTGGTTACCTTACCAGTAAAAATGAAAACCATTGTGCAGAGGGTTTCTGTGAGGATTAATAACACACCCAAACTGAGGGGTATCATCTGCAGGACGTACAGCTTGATATTGCCTATTTTCATGATCCTTATACAGTTAAGTGAAAACCATCTCCAAATTTCTAACCAATACTGGTAAAATTTTACCAGGACATTCATGAAATATACATAAAACACAACTGACACAGTCTCCCCAAGAATTACCAGGATATCCTTCTAAACTGGTCCGCACATTTTCCACAGAAGGATAGATCTAAAAATAAGAGAAAAACAATAAAACTCAGAATGTACCATGTTGAAGAAAAAGAATGATAATCAGCTTTTAAGAAAATGAAAATCTGTTAAAAATACTTTTAAATTAGAGAATATACTTTAAATTTTTAAAAGTTCTCATCTTACAAAAAAATGAATTAGTAATTAAACAAGAACCATATTTGATATAAAATTATACTTCAATTTGAATATTTTTTCCTTTGAAATTCAAGTTAACATTGAATGGAAAATTAACTATTAATTCACAGGTCTCTAAATAATTAAAATGCCCCTAATTCTGCTGGCTATGCTACATCAAATATTTTCTTCCTTGGTGCAGCAACCTGAAAGAAAGGATAGAAAAATCACAGGCCAGTCTGTGTTTGCAATGGAGCTCCTGAACAAATCGGCAAGCTCTTAGCACTGGATATTAAGGCAACCTGATTACAAATGACGATGCTAATGTACTGCTCTTTCCGTACCCCGCCCTCTCCCATGCCCCCCCCCCAAAAAAAAATCACAGAATAAAACATCTCTCCACTACAAAGAGGACCAATTTTCAGTTCTTCTCCTGTGTGAAGAATAAAAGTAAATGACCTCAATGAGAACGAGAACTCACCAAGTAAAGAGGGACAGAGCTTTTTCCTGGAGTCTTGCTTTCCTTCCCCAGTGTCAGCATGCTCTCTTTAAACTCAGAACATAACCACTTCGATTCATCAGCTCCCAAGGAGCCAATGCTTGAAAACTGACCCACGACAGGCCAGGACTCTGCATTAGGTATGGATGAGGCATGGTCTTTCAGAAGCTGGGAAAGAATACAAATGAATGTTAACGTGACTCAAATAATCTTAACAGAAAGGCTGTAATACCTGAAAACAGTTTTCTGCTCTTGGAATGCCTAATTAACAAGAAAAGCTGAAAATACTAATGATCAATTTCATACCCACACATATACATTTTTTCTTCTTTGGGAATTTTTTTTTAAATACTAAAAACATATTTTCAATGGAGTAGATGGACAGAAGTTCTCCTTTCCAAAATTCTTTGATTTGTGCTAAAAGCAAAAACAGATTTAAAAAGTTTAAAAAGGCCCATTTCAGTAGAAATTTCAGATAAACCACCAACTTGTCATATGAAATTAGTTTACTTGAAATCACAATTGTTTAATGCACCTTTGATACTATGAAATATGTATTTGGTCTTCATCCCTGTTTCCTGGCATGCAACTACTAAAATCCTTGGGATTTCCAATGTGATGTCTTTCTGTATATTAATGAGACTGATGGCAGGCAGATTCTAGGTAACTTCAGGATGGGGGCTGGTCACGATAAAGATCAAGGCATGATTAGAAGACTGGGACTTTTGGCACAACCCCCCAACCTCCAGGGATAGGAGGGGCTAAAGGTTGAGCTGATCACCAGTGGCCAGTGATGTAGTCAACCATGCCTATGTAATGAAGCCTCCATTAAAAACCCAAAAGGACAGGGTTTAGGGAGCTTTCTGACAGCTGAACACCTGCAGGCTGCTGGACAGTGGTGGTGCACCCAGAGAGGGCATGAAAGCTCTGTGCCCCTTCCCTATACCTTGCTCTATGCATCTCTTCATCTGTATCCTTTATAATAAGCCAGTAAACATTACGTGTTTCCCCGAGTTCAGTAAGCTGCTCTAGCAAATTAATCAAACCCAAAGAGAGGATCACGGGAACCTCAACTTGAAGCTGGTCAGCCAGAAGTTCTGGAGGCCCAGACTTGCAACTGGTGTCTGAGGGAGAGGGACAGTCTTGTGGGACGGAGCCCTTAATCTATGGGATCTGAGGCTACCCCCATATTTCTTTAAAAAAAAAAAAAAAGTATTTTTTCAATTATTTTTTCCCTACTTTTCTCTTTTCACTGTTCCCCCCAACTCCTTCCCCACTTCCTACTTAACCCTTTAGAAATGCAATTATAACCTTTTACTTTTCCTTTAGCAGCCACTCCCTACAGGGCAAGTTCATCTAACTTTGTGCTTAGAAGCTCCAGAGCAGAACTTTCTCCCACCAGGGCACTGCCTTGAGGGACAGCAGTAAATTTACAACCCAAAGTATGCCCACTAAGAAACTCTCCCACCTGGAGAGTTTCGGCCATCTTTACAACCTAGTTCTGCCCAGGAAGAGACCAAATGGACTGCCTGGTAGAGAAGGCAGAAAGTAAGGAAGTATCCACCTGCTTGCTTCCTCCTTTGCGTGCCATTCATGCTAGGCCCCCTTTTAAAACTGTCCACTTTCTGCGCCAAGAGCAAAGCAGTACCCTTAAGACAGGAAGCCTGTACTTATTCCTCTAAGCCAGCTTTGGAATAAAAAGTCACTTTCTTTATACCATGACTTTCTTTAAAGTGACTTTCTTTATACATCTCCAGGAAGACAGCATAAGAATTGAAGTGAACTAGAGGACACCCAGCTGGTGTCCCCTGCTTTGTGTATGAGGAAAACCCCACACATATTTGGTCACAGTTTTCTGTGTTGACTGTTGTAGTGTGACAGCAGAGGAAACAAAGTGAGTTTTTTGCTACTGACATTTAAACCATACCTAGAAGGATTACATATTTTGACTCCTATCATTTGAAAGAGGTTTAACATTCATAGTTTAACACTTGAGCTCCAGGCAGCTGTGATGGTCTAAACATAAAAGAGAATATTTACATACACATACCAGCTAAAACACTGCAGAAGACTGATCTGCATTTCCTGCTTTGGTAATTATGCAAAGCTGCAAAAACAATTCAGAAAATATTTGGAAACCTTATCCACTTAAATATGTGCTGAATGCCTACCTAGAGGGCTGGAGAGAGCAGAAAAATAAACTGTAGCTCATATTCTGACTGATGTGTTGTTTAATATGTATTATTTTCCTTAACACAGCTTAGGCATTAATACTTACATATACACTTCCCAAAAAGCCCAAAGTTTCCATGTCCACCTTGGGTACAGCATGGTGTAGGGAACGCAGCTGAACCGACAACTTACAACACCCAGTTTCTATTGCAGTGCTCAGCCCCTGAAGGGCCACCCTATCCTGGACAAGTCTCGGGCTTAGATTTACACTTCAGTGGAAACAGGCACCTAATCACCAGCCTGCCTTCCTGGAAGAAAGCTGTGGCGCAACATAAGCAACTGCGTGTAAAAAGTGGTTTGAAAACTCTTTAACATATAGTTGAACTTTCAGTATCAGATGGTGATCACACACAATACGTGCTATTATCTAGCCTATCTAAACCATTAGACATTAGGCCACAAACAACCGTGTATGTGCACTGAAGACTTACCATGTACCCTGTACTGTTTTATATTCATCATTTCATTTAACCCTCACAATCACCAGAGGGAAGTACTATTATTATGTCCATTTCATAGATGACAAGTGATGTATGTTAAGGAATAAGTCAAGGTCATATGGCTTGTAGATAACAAAGCAGGGTTTGAACCCAGCTATGGATACCTGCCTCCAAGGCTGGGCACAGGCCAATGTGCTCAACTTCCTCTCAAGGCCAAGACATAAAAGATGTCTTCACAAGATCCTGCCTGCTTTAAGTTGTGATCTCATTTCACAAAAGGAAATTAAAATAAAAAGTTTCATTAACCAAGGGAAAATTCTTACATTTTAAATAGTTTACAGAATAAGAGGTTAAGGCTTTAAAGAAAGCCACTTTAGGGAACTTATTTATTTTTTTGAGACGGAGTCTCGCTCTGTCGCCCAGGCTGGAGTGCAATGGCGCAGTCTCAGCTCACTGCAATCTCCGCCTCCTGGGTTCAAGTGATTCTCCTGCCTCGGCCTCCTGAGTAGCTGGGATTACAGGTGCTCGCCACCATGCCCGGCTAATTTTTGTATTTTTAGTGGAGACGGGGTTTCATCACGTTAGCCAGGCTGGTCTCAAACTCCTGACGGGCTGTGATCTGCCTGTCTCAGCCTCCCAAAATGCTGGGATTACAGACATGAGCCACCACGCCTGGCCAGGGAATTTATTAAGGTCAGTAAACCACCTAAAAAGAGATGAAAAAAACTTTAATCTTCAACTTATTTTATTTTATGACCTTTCTTTGTATATTTTCATATCAGCAGCAAGTATTATTTTTGTAATTAGTTTTATTAAGGGCACTGGTTTAATAATCAAAATATAGCTCAGTTGTAGTCTTTACTCAACATTTTCTGTTTGTTGAATTTATATCTTAAAACTTGATATGCTGAATAATCAAAAGCTATAATATATGTATGAATAGGAAGCCTCTATCTTTATTACAAATAAAAACTAGAGTATATTTATGCCATTAATAGCCAATAGCTATAAAAGAGGCAAAACACATTAAAAAGCAGTAATTACTAAGAACTATAATTATCAATTTATCAAGTACCTATTTGCCCAGAATTGTGCAGAAATATTGTGAAGCTGCATCAAAATATAAAATTATTTTAAAAGACAGAATATACATTAAATTTTTTAAAAATGTTAAAATAGTAAAAGTTCTGTTACCTTCCTAAGTCTAAAATGTCCCCAATTATCTTTTTGACTTCCTTGAAAGCGTCCTGGGGTTGAACCAATAAGATAAACACTAAAAGACATAAAAACACAAGTTATAAAACATAGTGATGTGCTTTGGGGACCAAAAAAAAAAAAAAAAAAAAAAAGACAAAATACACATGAAAACTAATATAATCAAGAAATGATCCAAGAGCCAACCCATTTTCTTGAATTGACTCTCAAATTCATTTTTCAAGCAAATCAACTAATGATGGAACACCTACAAGATGTAAAGTATCAGACAAAGAACTCAATAATTGTGAGAGTACTCCAGTGGGAGGCTAAGGTAAACATGAAGATTCACTGGCTATCACTTTCATGCCTGAGACCCACGAGATACAGATGTGATAGAATCTGTTCATCCCCTCATCACGTCCTGAAGCTTGGCTAGATTTCACCCCATCTCTTTCCAGGCCCCTGCATTCCAGACCTCATGAGGCTCGCAAGGTATGAACCTATCATAAGCACCCAATTGGTAAGTTGGCACATACTTCGTTTCGGAGAGATCGTGCTCGTGGATGGTATCTATCCACTCCTTGAGAGAAGGGGCATTATAAGCCATCAAGTAACTGATGAGATCAGCTTTAAAATGTGTTGTCGACTCTCCAGATTTGTGGGTTTCATCAACAATTCGTGGGTATAAGGGGCTCAACCATATTCTGGAATTAAAAAAAATAACCTTTAACAGTCAGGCACACAACTGATGACAGTGATCTCTGTATCGATTACGCCTTCATTCTAAGAAAGAGGTGAATTCTCAGTGTCTCCACATGGTAAGTAATTTTAGGAAACACGAAACATAAATGTGAGCACACTACTCCAATGGCTTCCCATCACATTCAGAATTATTCCTGAATGCCTTGCCATGAATTTAAGATTCAGTAAGACCTGGGCTCTGCCCACTTCTTCCAACCCACATCCCTCCACGCTCCCTCTCACTCGCCAAACCTTCCTTATTCCTCCTATTACCTCTGCACCTATATATTGCTTTCTAAGACTTGATGGTAAGAGTTAAGAATTCTACTCTTAACAGTTAGAGCAAATTCATGCTACTAGTGGTAATCCCAGCAAGAATTTGCCCTTGTCTGCACCAATGCAGCTCTTCAGCCAAATGTGAAATAAGAATTGTGTTATCTATACCAAAAGTGTATGTGAAAAATCTATTTTCAATCAACAAACCCATTTTCATAATGTAGGTGCTATAGCAGCATATTTTTATGTCTTATACTGGTGCCTGGATTAAGTATCACATTCAGTGACATTACAATAACCTCAAACTTTCAAACACTTAATTCACTGAAGAAGCATAATAGACATCTTTCATTAATTCTTTTTCCCCAGAGGAAAACAGTGCTCTTTGCCAAAACTTCTACATTGTATCTGTAAATAGAAAACAACCATATCTAATCCCAATCCTTCTATAAACTGCTTCACAGTAGATTACTAAAATGGCTTCAAACCTTTTGTGCTTCAGTTTCTTCAAATGCAAAAAAGTGGCATTAACAGGGCTGCCTCACTGGGCTGTTGCAAAGCAATGACTTACAGGAGCAGTCAAAAGTATCAGGTGTTACATTTTTCCCCTTCTGTGGCTACTCCCCTTTTCCCCACTCTGGGTTCTATCTATTAAGCTGAAAGAGAAACTGCCTAATTTCTCTTTCGCCTGGCAGCCCCTGAAGGAGACTGGCAAGATGCAGGCCAACAGGGCAGAAGTCATCCAGAACTGCAAAGACTCTTGGCAGCGCATCTTCTGCAAGTTTCTAGCAAGGGGCACTTCATACCCCTGCTTCCCACCCTGGGGAGGCACTTAGCACAGGAGGTAGCATGGTGTGACGAGGGCTGGAGCCCAGGTTCTGGACCCAGATTGGCTAGCTGACTATACCATTTTGGGTAAGCCCTGTGACCTCTCTGGGCCTTTGCCTCCATGTGTAAAATGACCAGGTTGGGCTGGATAGACGTGGAGGACCTCCCCCTTGCAATAGCACCTCAAAGTTTCCAGGTGAGTGAGGCTCCTCCTGGATCAGAGATTCACTCACAGGTGAGTTCAGGATGAGAAAGAAGACAAATGACTTTCTAAACTAAGATGCTGAGATATGAGGCATTTTTAACACGTCACAAAATAAGAAGAGAAAATTATTATAATGAGCCAAATAATTTTATTTTATTTTTTTTACTGTGAGCTTTGAATGCAACTCTTGTTCTAATTTTAAAAGTGAGAAATCAACAGGTGAACCATCAGGCAGCTGAAGGGGATTAGCAGAACCACGGACCAATTATGAAGTGAGATTATACACAAAAACTGCTTTCAAAAGTTTTAAAATTACCCTAAACAACATGAAATGCAAAGTATTAGAGAGTAGAATATAGACCAAGCATGAAATAATAGGATCCCACACGAGGATGGCTGCTAGAGGAAGATTTCAGTCTTGGTACTTTCTGAGTTTTGAACCTTTCCTACCTAGTCAGTAAGTTTTCTAAAATTTTAAATTAAAAAATATTTTTTTAAATAAAAGGAACACCCAAGCCCTTACCCCTGCCTCTTCCCTCCTAGCAACCACCCCAGAGAATCCCAAAAAGGTACTACTGCCTGTAAGCTAAGCTTCCAACTTCAGAACGAGCTGGAGGCCCAGGGTGGGATTCGTGGAACCATGTGAGGCTGAGCGCTAACTTGAGAAATCCCTTTAGTAACATTAATTATTGTTTCATGGGAACAAGCTACATTAATCTCATTTCCTTTTGTTAGGGCTATATGAATCTCCACACCCAATCTGGCAGCTCAGGAGAGCTGGCTTAGAAGCTCTTGGGGTACCAAAGGCACAGTTAACCATAAATTTAGTAGATCAAGAAAGTGCTACAGCTGAGACTTAGAGACAGAGCAGCTATCCCCTCAACCCTGGACCAGTCAGAGCCACACTTCATTTTGAAAAGCATATTTTAAGTGGGATACTGAAAAACTGTAACGTGTTTATAGAAAAACTACCAGGAATTACGGCTAGGGGGCTCAAAGCCACATGCTATGGTGGGGCAAGGGAGTGGGGAGGGAACAAGAGATGTGAGGCTCAGAGACAAGACTCCCTTTCAAACTCTGAAGGACTGCCTTAAGGGAAAGAGATTACATTTGTCCTGCGCAGCGCACTCAGGTTGAAGCAAGACCTGTTGAAGGAAGCTGGAAAGTTATTTTAGCTCACACTAAGATGTAATTTGGGGCCGGGCACAGTGGTTCACGCTTATAATCTCAGCACTTTGGGAGGCTGAGGCGGGTGGATCGCTTGAGCCCAGAAGTTCGAGACCAGCCTGGGCAACTAGGCAAAACCTTGTCTCTACAAAAAATACAGAAAGTTAGCCAGGTGTGGTGGTGCATGCCTGCAGTCCCCGTTACCCAGAAGGCTGAGGTGGGAGGATCACCTGGGCCCAGGAGGTTGAGGTTGCAGTGAGCCGTGATCATATCACAGCATTCTAACCTGGGTGACAGAGTGAGACCGTCTCAAACAAACAAACAACGATGTAACCTGGGCTCAGCAGAGCTTAGCTAAACGTAATACACTCCAATTAGGAGTTCTAGCCCAAGCTAGGCAATGATATGGGGCAGGGTGAGGCAGAGGAGGATGACAGAGAAAATGTGAACCCAGATATGATGCTAGACAAACGTCCGAGTTTCTCCCAACGCAGAAGGCTGTTTGTTAACCAGCTCTTCTCTAGGACAGGAAGAGATGTGCAAAATGGCTTCAATAAAAGAAAATTAAAGTTAGTCATAATCAAGAATAGCTGAACTTGATTTGAGCAAATCCCTAAAAATCCCTTTTAAAAAGCAAACCCCTCTTGAAAAGGGGATCAAAACCTGGATCTAGCATATGTGCACCAAGTACAGAGGGTTAGTAGTTTATAAAGTTCAGAAAAGCTTTCATATTCAATTCTTCTCTTGGAGATTCACAACTTTATTAACACACTAAAGGCTCTAAAAAGACACCAGCTTAAATTTGTTTCAAAGAAAACACACCAACTAGGGGAGTGGGGAAATATTTAGCACACTATTAACATGACCAGGCCCTACCCTAACTTTTCCTTTGATTCCTGTTTGGGAAGCGGCAAGCAAAAATACAGGTGAGTACATAAGCAAGGAGAAATCACAAAAGCTATCTGGTAAATCCTACTGGGAAAACAATGGGTTCAGTTCTTTCATTCTGTAACCCCTTTTCTGCCTCAGATCCTCTGCATGTGCTGTTCCCTCTACTTATCTGTAGAGTGTATATGATGCCACTTCTCTAAAAACTAGGAAGACACTACTGTGTGTAAATAGTAATGTATGTTTACATGTACCATAGAGGTAGCTGTGGATGATGATGCTCCTGTTAACACTGGTTACTCCAAGAAGGGAGAATAGGGCAGGTAGTAGAAGAATACAGTAACTTTTTCTGCATACAACTCCTTTTCTAGGCCATGTGTGTTATTTTTACAATTAAAAAAAATAGAAAAAAGAATAAAGCGAATGTTCTGGCTTTTGACCTTTCCCAGCACACACACTGCCAGGAAGTGAGCAGGCCCCTACGAACCCTTGAGTTTTCTGGTGCCAATCAGCATGGATGAGGTTGGAGGTGTGTATGACAACCCGGAGGCCTTCTTCATAGAGCAGCAGCATCATTTTCCTTTAAAAACAGCAAAGGATCAAAAAGCATTAACAGTACTTTCAAAATATGTAATACTTTCCAATGCAAATGTAATATATAACTAAAGGAATTTTTTTAAACTCTCATATTACCCAAACTTAACATTTATAATTTTCCCTTCTATACATTACCATGATGAAAGTCTGCCTGAGTGATAGGTTGAAAACCTTTCAAAAAGGTTGAGTATTTGGTGGTAAAAGAACTTTCACCCCATTCTGTCTACCTGGCCAGTCCTGGCACTTCACATCCCTGCAGCCTAGCCCCTTATCTATTCAGCATCACCTGTTACTACTAGGCACCATGGGAACCTTATCGTCTGGTGTCTGAGATTCAAAGCATGGTCAACAATCTCTTGCTGCATCATGGCTGGCATTTTTTAAACAACTAAAATAGCATAAATTGGTATACTGTATATATTTAATTACTGGTTCATGAAATTTTGTTTTGGCACAAAGTTATGTTAGTGCATAATACACTGAAATGTAAAGTGTATTTCTTATTATGAGTTGAAATTTTAAGAAGTTTAAAAGATGCTTCATTACCATTAGTGGTTTTTTGTATCCATAGATGCCACACTTGTCAAGTGTGTTATCTGGGCTTGGAGTAAGTCTTGCCTATTCTTCATCAATCCAAATCAGACCTAGTTGGGTCCACTCTTTTTCCATGTGACCTCCCCAGACCTCTAATCGAACATATTTCTCTTATTTTAATTGCAGTGAGAGAGAGGGAATAGGATACAGATAAAAGCTTTCCATATGAAGTCTGAAGACCTGACCTCCAGACTTTGTCATTTAGATGACAAAGTGACTTTGTCATTTAGAAGCCCTTTGACCCTAGGTAAGCCATTCAATGTCCCTAAGCCTCAGTTTTCCACTTGTATGTCTAAGGATCAACCCCACTTCACGACTGTTGTGAATGAAATGCAAAAACACATTTTGCTACCAGGCATGGTGGCTCACGGCTGTAATCCCAGCACTTTGGGAGGCTGAGGCTGGCAGATCACCTGAGGTTAGGAGTTTGAGACCAGGCTGGCCAACATGGCGAAACCCCATCTCTACTAAAAACATAAAAATTAGCCAGGTGTGGTGGTGGGCACCTGTAATCACAGCTACTAAGGAGGCTGAGGCAGGAGAATCACTTGAACCCGGGAGGCGGAGGTTGCAGTGAGCCAAGACTGCACCACTGCACTCCAGCCTGGGTGAAAGAATGAAACTCTGTCTCAAAAAAAAAAAAAAAAATTTGTTAAATGTGAAACACTGTCACCTGTACATTCCTATTACTCCTTTGGTACACAGCTTTATTTTCTAATCTAATAATGGATGATTTTTATCTCCCTGTTGTTTTCAATAGGATTATTTCAATATTTCAGGAATCTAAGTTCTCTCTCTCCAACTGAAGTGTCACTTCTCACGGCTGTAACTCTGTCCTGACTTATTTTATCATTTCTATTGAGGCCAAAATGCTACTTAATACTTACTGATGAAACTCAATTCACACATGGGAAAAAAAACTGAACCACCGGCTCTCTCCAAATAAACAACACGAATACTATCTGGGCAGGATGAAATTATCATAAAAAGATAAGAAAAAGGATATGAGGACAGAAAAGAGAATGAGATATTTAGCTCTTGCCAAAACGAGAAATTAACCCAAGCTGGCAAACAGTAAATTAATGCAAAGCTGGAGAAATGACAGCTGCTGAGCCATCTTCTTTCCATTTGTGAAATGTACTCCCTGAAATCTGGGCAAATTTACATACACAGTTGCCAAATCAGCAGCTGATTGTAATTAAGAATAAGTCAGTTATGGATTCATGATAGAAGGTTTACAAATATTTCCATTAGTCAAGACATCGATTATCAGGCAAATCACACACTAATGTCAATGAATGCTATCAAACAGAATTATGAACTTGAGAGTAGCCATATTCATCTTTTCATAGACAAAATGGTAGTGTTAATAAGGTCACAATTAAAAATGGATAGGAAAGGGTGAGGAATGAGATCTCCCTTGAAGAATGCTGACCTGCCATATTGTCTACTAAGCTGTAGGGCAGCAAAAGGGACCCAACCCAAATACACAGCTATTTCTGCAAAGGGGGAAGAGAACTAACATATGGCAAGCACCTCTCTGCCAGGTGCCATCCTAGAAGCTCTGTCGTATGTTATCACACCAATCTTCACAGCAATCCAGAGAAGGAATTATTCTCATTCTACAATTGTGGAATCTATGTCTGGACATTTAACAGGGATTATCCAAGGTCACAAACTGGGCCAGCAGAAGAGCTTGTTGGGATCACATATGCCCGATGCCAGGGCACTCCTTTCACCACACATGGCTTCACAGGGCTGGTGGCTGCAACGGTGAACACTTCATGCTACTGATACAGGGGTAGGCAAGGTGGGGGAAGACATGGCCTTGGTGGGAAAGAGGACTGAATGATGCGTGGTGGGGGCCTGGCTATAGATCTTAGTGGAAAGAAGCATGCCTTGCCCATCCTGTGGTCTGCCACTAGCTACTGCCTGGATCTGGATATTTGACATTCAGCTGCTTTGGCTTTCTCTTTCCCCTCTATCGATTCTTGGAGCCATAAGAATTAACTCTGCTCCTCTAGAAAGCTCTAGAGGAAACCTCCAAAGAGCTTTCCCATTCTAAAACACTGAGAGACAGACCACAGGATTGCATGGCATCCAACCGAAACTGGACAGAGCGGGGCTTGTGTGCCAAAGTGTATACAGTCTCAAAGACTGCCTTGTTCACTGTTTCTAGCTCTACCCTGTGAGGTGGGGAATGCAGTTTATACTCCATCACTATGATCTGGAAGGTGACTCTCCTTTTCTAATTCACATGTTTGTCTTGCTTCTCTCACCAAAGAAAAAGCCATAAGAATAAAAACTCTATATTTCTCTTGAGCTGTGTCAAGAACATAATAAGTATTTAATTCCTAAAACATTTTAAAAATAGGCTAGGTGCGGTGGCTCACGCCTGTAATCCCGGCACCTTGGGAGGCCGAGGTGGATCACCTGAGGTCAAGAGTTCGAGACCAGCCTGGCCAACATGGTGAAACCCCATCTCTACTAAAAATACAAAAATTAGCTGGACGCAGTGGCACGCGCCTGTAGTCCCAGCAACTCGGAGGCTGAGGCAGAAGAATTGCTAGAACCTAGGAGGCGGAGGTTGTAGTGAGCTGAGATTGCGCCATTGTACTCTAGCCTGGGCAACAGAGCGAGACTGTCTCAAAAAAAAAAATTTTTTTAAAATAAGCAACTAGAAGTAATTTCAAGACACGAGCTCGATCTTCTACAAAATACTGTCATTTCAACAAAGTGTAAACTACAGATACTTAATTGGGAAAAGTTCAATTGTAATTACTTTCCAATGGCATTTTTTGTTTGTTTTTGAGACAGGGTCTCACTCTGTCGCCCAGACTGGTGTGCACTGGCATGATCTTGGCTCACCACAACCTCCGCCTTGCAGGCTCAAGTGATTCTCCTGCCTCAGCCTCCTGTGTAGCTGGGATTATAGGCACGTCCCACTATTGCCCAGCTAATTTTTATATTTTTAGTAGAGATGGGGTTTCACCATGTTGGCCAGATTGGTCTGGAACTCCTGATCTCAAATAATCCACCTGCCTTGGCCTCCCAAAGTGCTGGGATTATAGGCATGAGCCACAGCGCCCAGCCTCCTAGGCATTTTAAACTCTGAATTAAGAGCTCTTGGCGAGGCATGGTAGCTCACGCCTGTAATCCCAACGCTTTGGGAGGCAGAGGACGGTGGATCACCTGAGGTCAGGAGTTTGAGACCAGCCTGGCCAACATGGCGAAACCCAGTCTCCAATAAAAATAGAAAAGTTAGCCAGGTGTGGTGGAAGTGGCCTGTAACCCCAGCTACTTGGGAGGCTGAGGCAGGAGAATCATTTGAACCCAGGAGGTGGAGGTCGCAGTGAGCCAAAATTGTGCCACTGCACTCCAGGCTGGACAACACAATACTTCCAGTTGCTTATTTAAAAACAAAATTTTTTTTTTGAGACAGTCTCGCTCTGTTGCCCCCCCCCAAAAAAAAGCTCTGTTGAGTTTAACCTGAAAAGTATGTGTGTAGGGGCTAGGGGGTGGTAGTGAATGGACCAAAGGAAACAATAAGGTAAATTTTAGCAATGAGCATACAAGAACAAATTTAAAGCTAAAGTTAATGCCAGCACAGGAACTCATGCCTGTAATCCTAGCACTCTGAGAGGCTAAGGCAGAAGGTTTGTTTGAGCCCAGGAGTTCAAGATCAGCCTGGGTCACAAAGTGAGACCCCTGTCTCTACAAAAAAATTAGCTGGGCATGATGGCGTGTGCCTATTGTCCCAGCTACTCGGGAGGCTGAGGTGGGAGGATTGCTTAGGCTCGGGAGTTGGAGGCTGCAGTGAGCTGTGATCATGCCACTGCACTCCAGTCTGGGCAACAGAGTGAAACCACGTCTTGAAAATATATATATATACACATACACACACACATATATATATAAAAATTAAAGTTAGAATAAATAGGTTCTATTCCTGTCTCCACTACTGGCCCAAGGAAGAATCACATACCTAAACCTGGGCCTCAGTTTCCTGATCTAGAAAATTAAAAGGACAGACCAAATAATTTTTATAAGAGCATTAAATAAAAGAATAGTTCTCCCAGGCTCAGCTAAGCATCACTGTGCTAGATCCGAGGTGGGCCTACCATGCTCAGTCTTTCCTAAGAATAACCGTGTAACGGACAAATGACAATGCTTGAGGGGTTCCCCCATTTCATAAAAATTGCTTACGTGTGGTGTGTTCCAAATGCAATATCCAACTTTGCCTAGGATGAAAAAGAAGTCATTTATTTAAAAACAACTCACTAATATCCATATCTACTGGAAATTACATTAGAAAGCAATCAGGCCAACTTTTTTTTTTAAACTATTTCTACTGACCTCTACTGGACAAGCCCTTGAATAACAAGACAGCTTTTATAATAGCATCTGGGGACGCTCATGAAAACAAACAAACAAACAAACAAACAAGACATAAATTTTGTTACCCAGAATGATTCAATATACACTACATTTTTAATTACAGTAATTAGGACTGAGAAGCCTAATTTCTGTAGTTGACAAAAAACTAGTAAAACAAGTGAGACTCTATGCAAAGTTTTAGATATTTGGCTTATATAGAAATTAATGGTACACAGTTTTCAGAGAATATTTAAAAGAAACACTGAAGGCTGGGTGCAGTGGCTCACGCCTGTAATCCCAGCACTCTGGGAGGCCAAGGTGGGCGCATCACGAGGTCAGGAGATCAAGACCATCTTGGCTAAAGCAGTGAAACCCCGTCTCTACTAAAAATACAAAAAAATTAGCCAGGCGTGGTGGCGGGCGCCTGTAGTCCCAGCTACTCAGGAGGCTGAGGCAGGAGAATGTTGTGAACCCCGGATGCGTAGCTTGCAGTGAGCTGAGATCGTGCCACTGCACTCCAGCCTGGGTAACAGAGCGAGACTCTGTCTCCAAAAAAAAACACTGAAAGTGGTGGCAACATAAAGACTTACGATGTCAAATTAAAATAGAAATGTTCTTGTATTAGCATAGCAAGTGCTGAAAATAAAAACATATGAAATCCATTTTCATGTTATAAAATGACACCTTTACAAACTAATGGAGGGTATGTATATAGAAAACATTTTATCTGATACCCACTAATGCCAGATCTTGGTTAAGCAGAATATGTCACAAGATGCAGGTTATGAAAGAGTTTGAATAACCGTAACAGTTTCACAATTAGGAATGCAGTACATAGGCTTAAATCCTGCCTTCACAACTTTCTACGATCCTGGAAAATACATCTAACTCTATGCCTCAGCTTTCTCCTCTTTAAAACGGTACTATTCTGAGATCCAGAGTTGTTAGGAATGAGCTCACACATGTAAAATGCTGAGGTACGGGGTCCTGCATGCAGTAGGCACTCTACAATCGTAGCAATCACTACTGCAACCTCTCCCCACTACCTACCCCGGCCTCCTTACCACACGACGTGGGTGAAACTTTGCTGGGGGCAGTAACGGGCAACTGGCATACACAGGTGAGTTACAACACAGTCCCTATTTGGAGTGGAGATGCTCACAGACCAGCATGTATCTGTGCACTCTGGCCACAGAAGAAAGTGCAGGGAACTCTATTTCATGTCTTCAAAATTACCAAATGAGAAGGAAGACTGCCACTCTATAAAATGATATTTAGCTGAGAAAGAACAATGGTGAAGAGACCTGGTTTTTGTTTAGTTTGCTACAAGTTACATGCTTCTGGGTAAGTCTAAGCACAAAAAACAAGGATAATAGCTTCAACAGATATCGTTTACTGGGTGCTGTTTCTGGGCTAGTGCATCAAGTCCTTTAGTAAACTCTAGGATGAACAGCATCAGCAATCAATTTCAAAGATAAAGAAGTTAGGTGACAAGCCAGTGACAAGCCCAGAATAAGTGTTGCAGACTAAACACTTGTGTCCCCCACCAAATTCATATGTTGAAGCCCCAACTTCCAATGTGACTATTTGGAGAGAGGGACTTTATGGAGGTAATTAAGGTTAAATGAGGTCATAAGGGTGGGATCCTGATGATCCTGATCCAACAGGACTGGTATCCTTATAAAAGAGCTGCCAGACAGCCTGTGTATCTGCCTTCTTCCCTCTCTCTCATGAGGACACCGTGAGAATGTGGCCATCTGTAAGCCGGCAAGAGAGCCCTCACCTGGAACTGAATTGACTGGCACCTTGATCCTGGATTCCCACCTTCCAGAACTGTGAGAAATAAGTGCCTGTTGTTTCAGCGACCCAAGTCCAACAAAAGTCACCCAGGTAATTTCGTTATAGCATCCAAGCACACTAATACACACACACAGAGCCGGGACTGAGCCCAGGCAATGTGACTCGGACCACAAGGTCTCAATGTCTGCCCTTAGGTCCCACGTTTGCAAAATGGGAGTGTCAGCAGCCACCGACTAATGTGTCTCAGTTTAAATGACCCATGTTGCTAGAAAAATACTTTATCTTACAGACAAGGTACAAAGGTGTTTCAAGACATCAGGAGAAGGACACAATCCTGTACGTCAGCCTAGAGTTGGGAGCTTCTTTACAGCTCTTTCCAAGAGGTTTGGAAGAAGCGGCTCACTATGCCCTCTGGTGGCCAGCCTGGAGCACACTATCAAGCACAAGAACCACTCTCCTAAACGAGTACAGGTAGGTAATAATTTGAAAAAGGCTTTATTTCCATTCATTTAGTCACTGGTTTTCAGAATTTCTGTGTCAGTTTACTTTCTGCCCACTATAAGGTTTGATGGGAGCGATCCTATTGCCGTCTAACCTCTTATGTTGCTGGAAGTAGAAGCAAAACAATGGAATTTTGGCAACTGCTAGGCAAAGGCACATCTGTGGGCATGAGATGAGCCCATGTTGGACAGAAGACATTTTAAAATGACAGCTCCATAAAGTGCAGTGGGTTAAATCGTAAGGAAAATGTTGTGAGGTATGTTTAAAACTGACAAGATTGAGCTCCTGTACTGTATTAATCTTAAAAAAATACAAATATATCACATATAGTTGGAAAAAGAGTGATACAGTGTGAGTTGGAATTCTTACATCTTTGTGGATGGGGAAAAAAGACACTAGAAGGAAAATGAGAAAAAAAAAATCCAAAAAGTATGTAATTCACTCTGTCTCTGTACTCACAGAGCAGAAATCTTTTGCCAATTTTACTAAGCTAACGATAAGGAAAGAAAAGGGCTATAAAAAGCATCTTTTGTGTTTTCTCATAACGAACTAATACAGCCAAAAGAAATAGGAAAAGGTGACTATCACACCAGCTACTTCATAACCACCATTTCTATAGAAAGTAGTTATCATAAATGTGAGAAATTCTTCTGTATTCCTTGTTTTCCTTTCTACTTTGCATGTTTCGTGCTCAAAATGCCACGTGTAATAGAAGATCTTTGTGGATGATGAGTCTAAATAAATGGGTCCTAATGAAAGTCCAAGACTCACTGGCCACGCTGTGTGCCAACTGCAGAGTATTAGAACAAAATTATGGGACCATATAAAGAAACTGGGCAATAACCGTTTTTTGGCCTTTGATATGGTTTGGGTCTGTGTCCCCACCCAAATCCCATGTCAAATTATAATCCCCAATGTTGGAGGAGGGGCCTGGTAGAAGGTGATTGGATCATGGGGGTGGACTTCCTCCTTGCTATTCTTGTGATAGTGAGTTCTCGTGATATCTGGTTGTTTGATAAAAGCATGTAGCTCTTCCCCGTTTTCTCTTCCCTCTTGCTCCGACCAAGTAAGATGTGCCAGCTTCCTCTTTGCCTTCTGTCACAACTGAAAGTTTCCTGAGGCCTCCTCAGCCATGCTTCATGTACAGCCTGCAGAACCGTGAGCCAATTAAACCCCTCTTCTTTATAAATTACCCAGTCTCAGGTATGTCATAGCGGTGCAAGAACAAACTAATATAGCTTTCTTTTCTGCTTTGTTTTGGTCCTAGCAAACCAAGTGGATACGCCTGTTATAAGACCATTTAATGTCTCCACATTGGACTTAGATCATACACAGCATACGACTCACATAGTTTCCTAACAGTTTTTTAAATCTATAGGTCTCTCCTGTTCAGACCTTACATGCAACTGATGTGAAAAAAAAGAATTACGGTTGAAGGACTACCGTTGAAGTGTCAATGGCAGCTAATATAAGTTACATAAGGTGTCACAAAAAACTACAAGTTTTAAGTTGCACTCACAGGATACTCACAAAAAGAAACCCACAGCCACTGAACTGCATCCAGAAGACCTGTTCAGTGTTGGAACCCAGGTTTTGACAGGCATACTGACAAGCTACATGCAACCAGTGGAGCACTAGCAGGTTGCAGGAAAACTCAGAATTCATAGTACACTGAGTAAAACTGAAGAAAGAGAATGTTTGAATCAGAGAGAGAAAACTAAGGGAGACAGGACAGATCACTTTAGATATATGAATCACTGACATGTGTAAGATGAAAGACTTACTTATTTGTGTGGCTCCAGAAGGGGAAAATTAAGACCAATGAGTAGAAATTAGGAGGAAGACTTCAGGCCCACAAAAAGAAAAACCTTTCCAACCCTGAGGAGTACTACGAATGGGATGCTCTATCTCAGGAAGTGTTTAAGCTGAGGCTAGACAAGTATCTATTGATGACTGATGCTGGAGAGAGGATTTCTGTACTAGGTGGGAGGGTGGACTAAATGTCTAAGTTTCCTTCTAACTCAGACTATGCATGCTCTTCAATTGGCAGTAAGTGGTTTACCTGGCAGAGAGAGATGTTCTCGTAAGGCTTGGCCTGGGCATGGAGGTGAGCCTTAGCCTCTCGCTTATCACCATGCACAAGCAGGATTGGCTTCTTCCTGAAAAGAGAGCATTAGTATTTAATATAGATCATTCATGGCTGGGCACGGTGGCTCACACCTGTAATCCCGGCTCTTTGGGAGGCTGAGGCAGGTGGACTAGCTGAGGTCAGGAATTCGAGACGAGCCTGGCCAACATGGTGAAACCCTATCTCTACTAAAAATATGAAAATTAGACAGGCGTGGTTGTACGTGCCTGTAATCCCAGCTACTCCGGGGCTGATGCACGAGAATCGCTTGAACCTGGGAGATGAAGGCTGTAGTGAGCTGAGACTGAGCCACTGCACTCCAGACTAGGTGCCAGAGCAAGACTCTGTCTCAAAAATAAATAAATAAATAAATAAAAATACACCATTCATGAAGCTGGACTCGCCTCATTAAGGAATGCTAACTTCCTTATCACTCGATATTTGTTTCTGGTCTTTGTAGTGAGTGAAGTCAGGGCTAACACAGAGCAGTGATGAGCTAATGTTCATTTACCAGATACCTTTATAATGGGGCTACATGGCCTGATCCTGCAGCTCTGTTGTAATACAGAGGGGTAATGACTCAAGAAAGTCCTTGAATAATTATCTTCTTTGGCCGAAAAGGGCACATAAGTAGCTCTGTGCTAAAATATTTAAGTCCAAATAAATTAAAGATATATAATTATTATTATATAATATAGTGCTTTTTTCTTTTTCTTCTTTTGGACTACAGAGTGGATTCATTTCACACCACATCTATATTCACCAAACTCCTCCTGTGTGCTATGTACTGTGCTACATACTGACCCAGGATACAACGGAGAACAGGCTCAGGCCCAGGCTCACAGCATGACGCAGCTTCACTAATGAGTGGTTAGATTCCTATGAAACAGAGCCCAAGCTATGTTGAAAATGCTGCATTTTTGAATTACAAATATAATATAAAAACACTCTTCAAGAATACATTTAAAAGGCTTTTGAAGGATTCTTGATCTTTCTGATTAATTCAAAGCAAGATAATACTTAGAAATAAGCATATTTTTACAAGCTCTCCCAACACAACAAAAATTGGATATAAGCAATCAAGCAAGATAAACAACTGAGCCACTTCCACATTTATCAATCACACTGCAGAATGATGCTCTACCATTCACAAAGGAACAACAATCAACTAGAGAGAAACATCATAGAAAATGCACTTCCAGTACTAATGCCTCACTACCTCATGCTCAATAGCTTTATTCTAACATGACAGGTAAAATAAAACTATGAAATATGCACCTGTGATTTTTAGAAATTAGGTAAGAAAAACAGAGAAAAACGTAAGAAACACTCGTGCATCTAGTACCTAGAAATAAAAAATGTTACATCAAGTCATCTTATAAAAAAAGATTAAATATGACTGATAGAAATTGAAGTCCTCATCAATTCTTTCAAATTTATTGGTTCTACGACTTATTACAAAAAGACGGCACCTGAAGAACAGCATACTGAGGTATAAATCCTTATGATCTGAATTTTTCTACATACAAATTCTGGATGTTACTTAAACTTACCATTTAGGTCACTCCTTGTTCTAAGGCTCGTAATAGCCTTCCCAAGATGCATTTGGCAATAAGGGGATGCAGGGAGAAGGAGGACATTTTTGCCCCTTTAGTTACTGAGAGTCCAATGGATACTGTATTAGTGTGCCAGGGCCTCTTCCAAAACAAAGTACCACAAACTGGGAGGCTTAGACAACAGAAATATATTGTCTTACAGATCTGGAGGCCAGAAGTCCAAGATCAAGGTGCTGGCAGGATTGGTGCCTAAGGTATGAGGGGCATCTGTTCCAAGCCTCTCTCCCAGCTTCTGGGAGCTTGGCTTGTAAATGGCGTTCTGTGTCTTTACATGGTCTTATCTCTGTCTCTCCACCCAAATTTCTCTTTTTATAAGGACGCCAGTCATACTGGATTAGTGTCTCTCCTAAAGCCTTCATTTTATCTTGATTACCTTTATAAAGGCTCTATCTCCAAATAAGATCACATTCTGAGGTACTGGGGCTTAGGATTCCAACAGATCTTTTTTGGGGCAGGAGAATTTAACCCATAACAACAAAGGAACTGTAGTCTACACTTTGCCAACACTCTAAGGGGGTGACAATTTGATTTCAAGGTCTTTAAGAAAAGGGAGGAAGAACAGAAAATGCCAACGTGACACCCAAGAATACTACTGCCAGGAGGAGCCAAGACAGAAATTGCTTGTTGCCTCCAGACAGCCATTCTCTCCTCCTTCCCTAACAAAAGGCTAATTCAGGACAAGGTGAGCTAAGCAAAAAGACATTTCTAGCCTCTTTTAGAGCTAGTTAGCATGCAGCTGAGCTCTGCTCAATGAAACAGATGCAGGTGTTGTGTGGGGTTTCCAGGAAGGCTACTCAGATGGGCATAGCTGGAATGTGGGCCTTTTTGTCCTTTTCCTCCTTTTCCCTTCCTGCTACCTGGAATAGACAAGTAAGCTGGAGCTCTAGCTGCCATACTGGGCCATGAGGTGACTCTGAAGACTGAAGTCGCACACCAGTATGGTGGAACAGAAAGGGTAGGTGGATAAGTTTTTGAGAACCCCAGTGCCCCCATCCAGACCATAAATGTTTACCATTTGAAAGTATCAGGCTGGAAACAATTTCTGTCTTATTTAAGCCACTGTTATTTTGAGTATTCTTTTAGATGCAGCTAAAACTAATTCTGTGTGTTACAGGTCAAAACAAAAACAAAAACAAAAAAAGCCCCAAGTGCCAAAGCTCCTTGAAACATTTTAACAGTATTTTATCTACTGTTAATGTCAAAGGTTTCCACAATCTGATGCCCTAAATGTACCAAGAATTTTGAGGACCCTGACAATCATTTTTTCTTGTGTGTTTTCCTCCATTCTACTTGCTGTTATGGGAATCTGTCCTGTAAATGTGTTAGAAACAGGGAAGGGTGGCACCTCACTGTGTGATGCCCTATTTGGTCTGTATTGCCTAATATGAGGCTGATGAAGTGCAGGCAGAAGGCAGAACTAAAAATCCATCACCTCCAGAGCCTAGATAAGGGAAGGCCATATGTATAGCCTCCTTTCTTCATCTCAGAAACACAAAGGGATCCTCAAAACAGAACAGCATTGATGTGCTACAGAAAGCATGGCACGCTGGCCGCATGTTGGCATGTTCACAGATCTACAAGGTATGTGGAGATGGTATTTTCCTTCATATTAAGACTGGACATAAAGTTCTGGTATTTGAGTTAAAGCCTGTCCTTATCTACTTCCTGAAAGAGCACAGAGGAAATGCTAAAATCTGTAAGAAGAATGTGTAGGATGAAATAGATCAAAGAATGCTGTTTTCCCAATATAATTTAATGTCTGTATGATTTTAATGGTTTCAAAAGAAAAACTCAAAAAAAGATGGGTGGCTTTCACCTGAGAAATACAAATCTTAGGTGTCAAAGCCCCCTTACAGTTTATGGTGGTGTCTGTCACCCTGTGGAACTCACCTGAATTCTGGTGGATACTGTTTTACGAGCCAATCCACGTCAAAGCAGTAGTTAAACTAGATGGGAGAAAAGAAGAGTAACTAAGCCATGGGTAATTCTGCCAAACAGTTCATAAGGATAATTTTTGGTTATTACATTTAAGGAAACTTTAAAATAGTGATACATTACATGTATTATTTATAAACCTGGAGGGTTATGCTGCAATACTAATAAACCTACAATTTATCTTAAATGCATGGTTAAAAGAACCTAAATGGAGCCAAGTACATGAGATAACAGGTTCCCAGGAAATTATCTCTGCATGTGTTGGCAGCATCTGTACTTGTCTGCAGGGTGTTATTACATTATGTCTAATGGCCCTGAGATTAATTTAAATAAAAGGACTTATAAATTTACCCCTTTTCCCCTAGGTGATTATAAAAAGACAGATACTGGAGAAAAAGATCCCAGGACTTTCAGAAAAGAACGTTTCCTTTCAGGCTAACTTATTAGCTAGCTTTGTACATAGCCACCTGGGACCAGACATTCACTAGGCTTCTAACAATTAAATCTTAAATGCAAGTTCTGTACTGGTCTTACCCGTGGAGGCTCCTCCCCACATCTGGGTAATCCTGTACTTAGTAGCTCAATTGAGCTAACAGGGAATTTGCAAATGCTCCCCACCTTCCAAATGGAAACCAGGACTTTTGATGCCAAACCAAACGTAAAGGAAGCCTGGCTTTCTTCAGGGACAGGGCCCTTTGTTTGGACCATTTACTCATGGGTCTGGAGCATTACATGATTTATCAAGACCAAGGGACCAGCTCAGTCAGGAAGGAGCCATTGAACATGAAAATTCACATTTTTCTAAATCAAATCAAACTTGACTTGGCCTTCACTACTCTATCCATACCTCCCCACTCTGCACCAGAGTTAACTCAGTCCCATGAGTTAATCAGTGTCCCACTCTAGTCTTTCAAGCTGGAATGTCCAAAGTGACATCTTGGCCAGTGGAGCCTGACTGAGTCAAATGCTCTCCTGATAGTGACATCCCCATTCTGTTGATGGCCATGGATCCCATTACTGTGGCACTTGAGCCAGCCTCCCGATATGTGCCATCTCGGTCTCTGAACGGGACTGAGACCCCCAAACTGCACCTCTCATATTTTCTTATGGAGTTGTTTAATTACCTGTCTACTTTCACCCAAAGAAAAAACAGTTTAAAGGTATACTTACCTGAGCTGAAGAAACAAGCGTCCCAAATAAAGGAGATAAAATATCTGAGAAGACAAAACATAAATTAAATTCACACTTGCAAAAATCCTCTAGTCGTAATAATCACTACCAACTCATTCAACAGTCACTGACAATCAAGATCTGACTCAGAACACAGTAAGCTAAATACAAAGTCTACAAAGTCAGACTGTAATGTTCCATAAAACTAAAAATAATTTTCCCTATGGTATTTAATGTTTATCATATATTCTTTTATAAAACAATGCAAAATTAAAATCTACAACTTCAGTACTGAATGACTGATCAATTTTAGAAACTCAATATGGACAATAATGATACACGTTCTTTTCAGATCTCTGAACTTCTACCTCCTCCAAGTACCCATTCAAGTCCCTCTCTAGGAAACCTCCCAACTCAAGACTAGAAAAACTTTCTAGAAAGATTTTATAAACCTGGACAGTTTAGAAGGACTTTCCAGAAAGACTGGAAAGCAGTTGCGGCCTGTGAACGAAAGGACAGAGGCACCCACAATTCTAAACTCACATTCCTGGTGTTCCTGCTCATCTCTAGGGAAGTCCCACTTTATACCCACTCAAGCTTTACATCAGATAGGTTGGAAAGCTCACTTCTCAAACCACACCACGAGAGAAAGTACACGATCATCATGACCTTCCATTACAACAGCCACACCTGCGGAGACCTGTTAGGTGCCAAGCAGCATTCTTGGCACTTCCCATGTATTACTTACTCCTTATATCCATTTTCTAGATGGGGTCTGTTATTCCTATTTTATAGAGGAGAAGCCTCCTTAGGAGGCTGCCCACACACACACAGCTAGGAAGGGGTAGAGTCGGGGTTTGAACCTAGGCTGTCGGGCTCCAGCACCTTCGCTCAAACCCACTAAACTACCTCTGAGAATTAAGACTGGGCTCATTCATTTGGCAAATATTTACTGAGTGCCTCCTATCTTCTGGACATTGAGCTAGATGCTGGGGTAGAAAGATTTTCAGAGAACAACAAAAAAATCGTAAGGAAGTTTCTACCTTATTGGGAGAGTTGCAGAGATAAACTGCAAATATTCTTCCATTTTGCCCCCACCAGCATGTATTTCTACCCTTCTAAATTTTACCCATCTTCCAAGGGCCTTTTGAAGTCCCCCTTCTTCCATGAGATCTTCTAAACCATCTACAATTATGGCACATGGTAGAGTGCTATAGCAAACAGCATGGATTCTGATGCCAGAATGTCATTACCAGCTCTACGACCTTGGGCACTTTTCTAAACTGCAGATCCATCACTTATCCAAGGAAGACAATTGTAACATCTACTCATAAGACTGTCCTAAGGATTAAAGGAGAAAATATATATAAGAGCTCCATGACATGTTACCACAATATCTTGGTGCTAATAGCCAGTTATTTTATTATATAGAGCAAAACTTGGCAAAATTCTCTAAGTATTTGTCAGTCTGTCTCAAACAAACAAAAAACTTGACAAAGTACCAAGATAAGAGATTCTCAAAAAGAAAACAACCTGTAGAACACTCTACAGTATGGAATACTCCAACATGTATACATCACACATAATATACAGTTATATACTGGATATATATATATATATATATAAAAAAAAACCACTAGCGACAGTTAACATTACTATTCTTAAATATGGGACCGGAAAAAAATCTGAAATAAGGGTAATACTGTTTACTGTGTGTATTTGCCATGTGAATATATTACACCGGCCACTTCATGTATTTGCTCCCATTTTTCTGCATTTCCAGTTTAAAGATAAGCAAACTGAAATTCAGAGAACGTTAGGTCCCGTGTTAACAATCCATACGGCAAATGAGTGGCAAGGCTGGAAAGCAGATTCTAGAGTTCCCGCTATTCCCCCTGCAAATGCTCCCTGAGGAAGAAGGAGAGTAAACTAAGGCCATGTTTTGATCCATAACTGAAACATCTATTTGTACTCAGGCACTATTTTTTTTCTTCTTCTTCTTCACCAGGAAGCAAACCCAGGCTTTTAAGCAGTGGTTCTCAAACCTGAATGGGCAGTAGAATCCCTTGATGGGCTCCTGAAAACACAGCTTGCACGGTCTCACCCTCAGTCTGATTTAATGAATCTGGAATGGAGCCTGAGAATTTGCATTTTAACAAGTTTCAGGTGATGCTGAGGCTGCTGGTCCAGGGCCCATGGAGAACCACTACTGTTGTCAAGTATTTGCTACCTTGTTGATAAACTGTTACTCATCAAGCTTAATCTTAAAGAGTTAAATAATGCTAAACATGGTGCTAAGTGATACAAGGGGTTGAGCACAAGGTTTTGAGAACACACGCTCTGCCTGAGTTAAGTAAACAGTCTGCTGTCATACTAATGCACTTGCCTATCAAGAATTCTTTTCCTGAAAGTAGTTAAGAACACAAAGAAGAGTTCTCAGAAATCATTCTAGGCTGCCCTCCTTGTTTCATGGAGGAGAGACTCTCAAGGGCAATTCAACAGCTCCTTGACAACCAGCATCCTCTTACCCTTGATGTGGAGGGCTCCGGAGTTATACTTCGGCTTAACTCCGGAGACTCTAGTGAGGTAAAACTGGAAGGGGTTCCCTTTATCCAGCATGTCCCAAATGTCCTGGCCCTCCCCTGATGTCTCGTACTCTTCCTCCCCTTTGAGCCTGTGGCAGGTGGGAGGGCCATGATTTTCAGTTCTTTGGGCAGTGCCGTCACTGGGAGCCGAGATGTCTTTCTCCTCTTTGATCACCACTTTCTCAGCCTGCTTCTGCAGCATTTCTGGCTGTAGCTCATCATCACTGCTGGACAGACACCAGCCTAGGTCCTCCTGGGAACCGCTTTTCTGCCTTTTGGGAGGTAAAACTGAATCTGTATCGTTGAATTTCACAGGTGACATTTTCCTCTTGTGTGCGGCTTTCCGGGCCTCGGAACAGGTATACCTGGGCTCATTTGCTGCTCCTTGCAAAGAAGAGGTAGACGGCTTGTCTGGTTTTGGCTTTTCTTCCTCACTTTCATCACTACTGGATATGGTCCACCTCCCATAATCGCCTTCCTGAGACATTATACTCCTGGAAATGGAAAGTGGAAATGTCAGCATTTCCCATTCATCAGGGCATTGGCAAAATAACTTCATTGCTCTCAACTTCCCTATCAGATAAGCTGACACCTTCCAGAGGCTGACCACCTACCATCAGCTGCTTTTTGGGTGTTTATAAGCACATTATCAGAATCCACTATCAGATTCTGCCAAATTACAAGCAAAAATCCTGGTCACCTTTCTTTCTTCTTCCCTTTGTTTTCCTTCTTTTTTTTGAAACAGGGTCTCACTCTGTCACCCAGGCTGGAGTGGTACAGTGGTTCAATCTCAGATGACTGCAACCTTTGCCTCCTGGGCTCAAGCAATCCTCCTGCCTCATCCTCTGGAATAGCTGGAACTACAGGCGGACACCACCACGTCTGGCTAATTTTTTTTTCTTTTTTTTGGTAGAGACAGGGTTTCACCATTGTTGCCCAGGCTGACCTTGAACTCCTGGACTCAAGAGATCCACCCACCTCGGCCTTCCAAAGTGCTGGAATTACAAGTATGAGCCACCATGCCCAGCCTTGTCTTTCAATCTAAACTTTGTTCTCAGATATCCTAGGAAAGGGGGTTGAAGAAGCATCAAGACAAACTCCAAAATAAAACATTCATTCTTGACCCTGAAGCTTCCAACAAGCATTTGGGGTTAATCTATGTTCAATGCTTAAGGTCAAATTGGAATTTACAAACCTGGCCTTCACCCAAGTACAGACACCCACAGGACTTCCCAAAAGACAACCCATTTACCATAAAGCTTAACAAAGTCTTCAAGAGGAATGCCAAATGACCACTTAGGTATGTACGTTATTTACACTACTTCCATGAGGACCCAACTAACTCAAGATACAATTATCCTATTGGCCACATCACAAATCTACTAAAACCTGCACAGAAATAACTTATACTGAAGGAACACACTTTTATTTTTTAAGCCACATAGTTAAATTCTACTTTCTTGTTCTGAGAAGAGGAAAGTACATGAAACATTCACTTTTGGTGTTACCTACAAAATCTCATCAATTCAATGGTAAAGGACTATCTAAGTCGACTTTCCAGATAGCTAAAGAACATTCCTCAAAGTGATACTTTTAACATTTTAGCACAAGACCTGGGGGAAGATTACAAAACTCAATAGTCTGTGCTCAGATTAACAGCATCTTTAAGTTTTTGCCATTTTAAAGAGGCTGAAAAAGATGCATTGACTGGAGTAAACCAAGATGGTGACACTCCCTTCACAAAACCTACATTCCCCCAAAAAGAGAATTCTACATTATTCTACATCAAAAAAGTTGCAAATGAATACATATGCATGTGTCTCTAGATGAGAACTAAAAATAAAAATCTTGGCCAAGGGGACCCCAGAGAAACCTTAAAAACTGAGTTCCAGGCCATGGTGGGATGGGAGCTCAGATATGCCTGTTATATCCCCTCCCTTCTGCGGTTTAAACACAACTGACCAGAGATCATAGACTGGCAGAATAGATTCTGTGACAATATGACACCAAATCATAAACAAGACCTAGGGCCATGCCAAGCAAGGGTTAATCACACATTGCTACCCTTAAAGAATAAACTATGTTCTACCTGCCACAAGGTTCTTTTTTCTTTAGCAGCTAAACAAGCACTGGCCTGGAGATAAGTAATATCTGAACAATTGCAGCTCACCTACTGCCAGATGCTTGGCTAACTGACACCCCTGGTTCCACAGGCCATCACTGCAGCTGTCATTGGACAATGGACCAACTTCAGTAACTTTCTCCTGAAAAAGAAACCACAGACTGGTTCTGACCAGTCCTCAGAGGCTGAGCACTGAGTGCCTTCATGTCCCTCCTTCACCTTTTGACATAGAGTGCCTAATTGTAAATCATTCAAATGTTAAGTTTCCATCCCAAAGTGAACATAAGATGCACGGAACACGCACGCTTGCTCATTATGCATGCACATGTGCCCCCCTTGGTGAATATTCACAGCTCCTCCCACACCTATTGAATATGTATACTTGGCCATCCCATTCAGCATAAATCCCTGTTCTACCCTCTCCTCCCTGGGATGCCATTAAAGGTCTCTGCCTGAGGCTGTGCTTCCTAGCCTGTCAGGCCACACTGCATGCTGTATCCTTTTACAAGAACTAAGCTCTCCTTTCTAAATGTATACATCTCATGATTTTTCAGTGGACATAGCAGGGGGTGGAGGGTTGGAAATACTTTAAAGGTATCTATCCCTTTTCACAATGTCTCTCTTAACCTTCTTCAATTAACTACCAGTCAAGTCAAGCAAGCCTTCTGTAAATTACACATTTTGAGGAGCTTTTATGCAAGAATGCATCAAAACAATAATCTGGCCCGTTCTACATGGCTCAGGGTCACTAGTACCCCATCCGGCATGAACGCACTATCTCACAGCCAAAGCCTTACGGACTGCAGAGAGGGCTGGGGCCACTTGCTTCTGGAATAGTGACCCTAGACTGTCTGGCTCTTTTGAGCCTTCATATCTGCTTTCTAAAAGTTTCTGTTCATTTCTACACTCTGTCCAGCCCACTTCAAGGGGTTTATTAAAACTCATAGCATAGATATATTTTCCCTAAATTGTTTCTCATCTGCTAAGGGTTAAGAAACTAGATAACCAGGTTTGTAGAACTGTATTGTCATGGTTAAAGGGGTCTGAGTACCCAGTTTCCTCCATGAAAGAGATTCAGATTGATTTACTACTCAACACCTACTTAAGCAGCTCAGAGGTGTTTCCTTAAATGTTTTTAATCCTTCCAGTATTAAAAAAAACCCCACAAAACCTTAGGTTCCTCTAGTGTTCTAGAGTCTAGAAGTTGCTGGATAGAGGTATTTAAGCTGCTCCGATTCACTTTGAAGAAACTATCTCAGTGGCTACAGTTTTGTGACTTTAAAGTTATTTAGGGACAAAAGAACCACCTTAGGAAAAACCACTCTCTGAATGTCAGCTCTAGCTTCCTTTGAATTCTAAAACAGTTCTAAACCAACGCGGTTAGCAGGTCTCAGTTTTTGATGAGAAAGGATTCAGCTTCCACTCTTAGAAGCAGTTTGCAGAATCTTAAGAGGCTACCATAACAAATATGGTTGCCTGCATTATATAAATAAAATGGAATTCCCAAACCCTGAGAATTCTGTAGGTAAAATTCTTAGCAACTCTGTGAATTATTTGGAGAATTTCAAAGGTTTTTTAGTTTTATCATTATCTACATTTTCTAAAACCATATGGAAGTGGAATTCCCTCCAACAAAGTAGGACAAGTGGGTAAAAAATAGAACAAAGCTTTAAAAAAAGACATTTGCTAGAGAACAAAGTCTTTTTTGAGGTTCTGCTCTATACATAAAGTTTTGGACCTGCTGACATTCAAAAATATGCCTGAGTCGTTTATTAAAGACAACCCAATACAATTTGTTCAGTTACAATTTAGTACAATACACTAATAAAATTGTATTATTGTTAAGTGTAGCAGCTTACCAACCTCTTTACGAAATCAAGGCTCGCGCCCGGCTGGCTGGAAAAGAACTGCTGGTAAGCACCAATATCAAATTTTTACTTTGGATAACTGGATGGTCACCAGTAACAGAATTTACTTCCCTCGTACAGGCTCTGGTGCCCAGCATTCCAGAGTGCTTTGTAATCAAGCCGTACAGTTTTAACAAATGTAGAACCCAAGAGCTTTCCTTCCATTGTTTATCGTCTGTCTTCCCTGTCTGGGTAGTGCTTGGTACAGCATAAATCTAAAGTCACACTTTTGGTAAGTGGTACCGCAAGAGTCAGAGAATACAATACAGCTGTGTTGATGCTGAATCCTGGCACTCAGTCAGGACGGCATAGTGTTTCCTAAAGTGGAAGTGATTGGGACCTGACATTATGAAAGTATCTCCCTTTCCCGTCCCATCCAAACTCCCTGTTTAAATCAAGAAGAAAGTTGTAGTGTTGTAGAAATGCTTTTAATCTTGATTTGGAACAAATAGCAGGGTTTGGGCTCTTCTGCAGGCACCAACAATTTTGTTTACCATCAACAGAAGGTATCTGATGGCTACATTATATTTGAAATAGCAAAATAAAGTTTACTTTATGTAAAAGAATGATTGGATTCAAACAAAAATATTAAGTATATGATAGTCTATGTGATAGCAGCAGGAGGCAGACAAATCCCTAGGCAGACAGGGGCAGAGCCTTATTAAAACCCCACCTGCAGACCAAAGACAGTTTAAAGCCTGAAAGCCAAGCTACAAGTCTTGGATAAATCCACAGACCGGATTGATAACCTCTCTTCCCACTGGGCACGGCTTCCTCTAATTAATCACCACCCTTCACCTACTTTACATACACTTACCCTTCCCTAATTCGTTTTTTACATTGTCAAGCCCACCTTTGGGTGGTGCCTTTGTTTTAGCCTTTTTTGCATACTTACAAACCGATCAGCACACACTCCCCCATTCTGAGCCCATGAAAGCCCCAGACTCAGCCACACTGGGGAACTGCCCACCTTTGGGTGGGGACAGGGGACACCCACTTGGGGTCCCCTCTCTGCTGAGAACTGTTTCATCACTCAATAAAACTCATCTCCACCCTTCTCCCCTTTGGTTGTCACCCTAACCTTATTATTCTTGGACGCAGGACAAGAAACTGGGACCTGCTAAACAGCAAGTGCAAATAGAGCTATAGCCCTGTAGCAGCACTCTGTTCCGCTGGTGGAACAATGGGAGAGGGAACCACTGGCTGCCACACACCTCCATTTACTGGGCTGCAGATGGCGGGACTAAAAGAGCTGTTAATACATCCCTATTTGCCTGGCGTCTCCAAGTGTTCGGGCACCACCACATCCCCCTCATCTGGACACCAGAGTCTGATGCCAGAGTCATTTGCCACACGCCCAGGCCATCCACAGTCCTGCATGGAGTCTGTGCCTGGGCCAGCACTTGGAACAGCCATCCAGGCCTCCAGGCTCACTCATACACCCACTCCTTGCAGGCTGAGCGTGCATAGTGGCCATGGGATCTGGGCCAGGAGGAAAGCCAAACGCACAATGCCAGGCTGAGTGGGCAGGGCACCTCCTGCGGCCAGCCCAGGGCTGGAGGTCTCCAGCTGGCGAAGCGGCCCTGAAAAAAATCCCGTGTTGTATGTGTTAAGAGAATAAAACAAACTGGGGAGAAGGCAGGTGTGATTGAAATTTGGCAAACACTGCACTAACATGAAAAATCTAAAGAAATTTTCCCACCAAACGCTAGCTCAGGACACTGTTAGCGCTTTTATTAAGGACTTTAAAACATGTTGTGGATATGAAAGGTACTCCATTTAGAGCTGCTAAGTGTTTCCTCACTCCCCACTATACCAGAACCAGCTGGGGCATTTCTCTTTCACCTCCAGTTGCTCCTTCTCATGGAGCTTAAAGACCATCAGGTGGGCCCGGGAGCCAGGCTCCTCAGTTGAGTTCCTGTGTGGCCAAAGGCAGCATGGGCCCTGTCTCAAACCCAGCCATGACTAGGGAGTAAATGTGCACTCAGGCAGGTTAGTTAACTGCTGAGCTTCTGTTTTTTAGTCTGTAAAATGGTTATCGTGCTTACCCCCTGGAGTGCATTCATTCAACAACTTACTGAGCAGTCATTATGTACCGAAAACTGGGAATGAGGCGTTAACAATATAGTTTCTATCCTAGCAGAGCATAATTTCAGGGCAGAAGAGACAGACCCACATATAAAAATTTTAATAGCCAAGATGAGTTAGACATTCATTACATTTTATAAGTATGAGACAGAAAAATAGGGGTGATCTTGGGAATATGCTGAAGAAGTAACATATAAATGAGACCCAGAGGGCCAAAAGGAACCTGCTGTCTAAATGATTGGGTGAAGAGCATTCCAACTAGAGGGTACCCAGCCTGCAGATGGGAAAGAGATCATAAAAAAGGACTTAGGCAAGGCAGGCAACGGTCCAGGATGAAGGGGGTGAGGGGAGAAGACCCGTTAAAGAAATTGGATTTTATGCTATGAACAATGGGGTCTCACTTATGGCTTTAAGAAGAAGGGGAATCCGAATTGCATTTATTTTTTTTTTGAGACAGTCTCGCTCTGCCACTCAGGCTGGAGTGCAATGGCACAATCTCGGCTCACTCCAACCTCCGCCTCCCAGGTTCAAGCAATTCTCCCACCTTAGCCTCCCGAGGAGCTGGAATTACAGGCACCCGCCATCATGCTCGGCTAATTTTGTAGAGACGGGGTTTCACCATGTTGGCCAGGCTGATCTCGAACTCCTAACCTCAAGTGATTCACCCGCCTCGGCCTCCCAAAGTGCTGGGATGACAGGCGTGAGTCAACGCGCCCGGCCTTCGATTTGCCTTTTTAATACAACTGTGTGCGCTCCAACTCTGTGGAGAACGGTTTGGAGACGAAGTGAGAGGGCTCTTGCTGAAGGCGTTCGACGGGAGCCGATTCGGAAGGTGAGGAAGTGATGACAGCAGCTGCCAACCTTACTGTGCGATCATCTGGGGCCGGCCAGGCACGATTGGAAGCGCCTCATCGGGTGTAAACTCGCTTCACCCTCAGGACAACTCTATACTACGTACCGTGACCGTCCTCCTATACTGAGAAACCAAGCACAGAAAGCTTAAGCGTCTGGCACGTGGTGGGCGCTTTCCTACTCACTTTCTGGGACCACGCACCTGTAAGCTTAGGTCTGGGAATAAAAACCCCAGCAGGGGCCCCTAGCGCCGCGCCCAGGCAGGACACAGGTCTCCGTGGCGCCTGTGCGCGCCCCCTGAGACGCTGTGATCGGAGGAAACCGAGGCCCAGGGGCCGAGGCGACCCTGCCCCGTCTTCCCGGCCGCGCCGCTTCCTCGCGGTCCGCTTCCAGCCCTGCAGGACCCCAGCAGCCCGCGAACCGCGACCGGTCAGGAGCAGGTTCCCGGGCCCGACCGCAGCCCTCGAGAGACCGCACCGAGTTCGCGCCCGCTGCCGCCCAACACGTACCTGAGGCGCACCGAACCCACGCTCGCCTCGGATCCCGCCCCTTCGGCGGCCGCCGCGCATGCGCGCAGTTGAAACCCTCGGGGCAGCGGCGCGGGGCTCGAGGTCCGGCCCCTTCCCCTTCCGGGGAGCGCACCGCTGGGTCCTAACGCCCGCCGGGTGTCTACCCAGGACGGGGCTCGGGAGACCTCGTCTCCCCTAGCTCTTGGCTGACCTCCTGGAGACTTCTTAAAACGAATGGAGAACCAGAAAGGCGTCCCCTAACTTCTCTCTAGTTAACTACGAGCAAGACTCACCCTCTTTACGGAATTCTCATGGCTCAGGCTCCCGGGACTCCATGCAGCGGCGTTTGGTTTAAAGTGGAGAGAGGATACGCTTAGGATAAAGGCAGCTGCAAGGAGACCTGTGTCCTGGGAAGGGCTGGGTGCAGACTTTGAAATCTGCTGTAAAATAAAATGTTAAATGAGTTCCCACCGGACTCAGAACTTCGAATGTCTGTTCCTTCTTCGAAACAGTTGCGTTCTTTTAAAATCTTCTGAGAAACGGAACTCGCCCCACAGTCCTTGCCTTCAATAAGGATGTTTGCTGTGGGATTTGGGCTCTGTGCTATTTGTGGTATTTATTCTTGGAATCTCTCTCAAACTAGGCATGTCTTCCAGAGGACTGAGTGAAATACATTTGTGTAAACATAACGGCTCGTTTCGTTCGTTCATTGAAGATCTACTTTGTGCCATGTACAGTGCTAGGTGCTGGGGTTATCTGGAGGACAGAGCAGATGTAGTAGCTACCCTGGGAGCTCGATCTCAATGACTTGCTGATCTGAACGAGAATCCTGGACTTGGCTCTTTTCGTTTGGTTGTCTTTATGTTTGTTCACACTCTTTTTGTCTCCAATAATGTTTAGCATAGTGTCATAGATCTAAATGATTAAAAGTAACTTACTGCAAGATGGAGGGAGAGAATGAAATAAATCATGAACCAGGCATTGAACCAGCACCTAGAAGCGCTTGGATTTCCGGCCACACGCAACTAGTAAAGGGGACAGAGGGGGCGGAGCCAAGTGCTGGGGGCAGGCCTGGGCGCCTCACTGCCAGGGCGGCTCCTAGGAAACTTAATTAAACAAAGGCTCTGGCCAATAGCCCTGCGGGATTAACGCGAGTGGGCTGGCAGGTTGTCCAATGGGAGGAGACGACGGAGTTGCGCGGTGAAGTTCGGCTTCCTGAGCCGCGGCGGGCGTGGCCGCGTTAGGCTGCGAGCCAGGCCGGGGCAGCCGTGGGCCGTGTTTGGGGTGCTGGGGTTCGGTTGTTGCAGTCGCGATGTTCTTCTCCGAGGCCAGAGCCAGGTCGCGGACGTGGGAAGCCAGTCCCTCGGAACACAGGATGTGGGTGGAAGTAGGTGTCCGGAGGGCGACTGAGCCTCGAACTTCAGCTTGGCCTGGGCCTCTCGCTTTCTCCCCCGCGCCTGGGTCTCTCTCTGCCGGGTTGTACAGATAAGACCTGGGCTACCTGTCCAAAGGGTTGTGGTTAATGACTGATCCTGGAGCTGCAGGGCTCCTGGCTCCCCGTCCAGGACTACGGCTACCTCCAAGTTCCTTCTCCTTTCCCTCTACATAGTCTATTAATGGTAACCACGAATCTGCATCTCTCCTCCCGCCTTTCAAAGCCAGCCCCTTTGCCTCACCTTCCTAACTCCAGGACTGAATTTTGGGTAGAATTTATCTCGGTGGTCTAAGTGAATTAATTTGCGTCATCCTAGCGATTAACTGGTTTTACTTTCTTGAGGGAAATTTCAGCCCATCTTTAAGAAGATTTTAGTCCATCTTTGATTTTTCTTGAGAATTAATATTGGGATAATGAAATTCTATTTTCATACTCTACCGCTGGGCCAAGTTTTAGATTTTCGAGGTCCAAATTATATAAACTAGTAATAAAAATAAGAAACAGTTTCTGTCTCATTAACTAAAGCTATTTAATGTTCTTCAGGTATTTAAGGCATGTGATGAAGATCACAAAGGATATCTCAGCAGAGAGGACTTTAAAATTGCTGTTGTAATGCTGTTTGGGTACAAGCCCTCCAAGGTAGAGCTTTCTTATATATTTGGGGATGGGGTAGACGATCAGTGGTGCATGGACCTTGAGAAGAGTCCACAGGGCTAGCTTAGGATGTTTATAAATTGCTTTATAAGCAATTTCAGAGATGTGCCCAGTGCTGAATTTTAGCTTCCTCTTAACACCTCAGCCCAGAGATGAAGTAGAAATCTTTTCCACTGGAGCCTACACAAGCCTATCTCACTAGCAGGCTGCTAATAACCATTATAAATATGAGACGCTAGAGAGGTGCCAAGAGGGAAGGCCGAAAGGGAAGTGCTGGTAACAGGATAAATTTACATAGGACGTGACATAGTCTCTTTCTCGTTTTACTTTTGTTGCTTTGTTTATAAAATACATCCGCAGTCAAAAAATTAAAACAGTGCAGAAAGGTATAAAGTTGAGCATAAAAATCTGCTCCCAGCCTACCAGAGGGTCCAGCTCCTAGGGGATTACCATTAACAGTTTTTTGTGTAATTCTGAAATTTTCTATCCATGACATATATATGCATAGTCTTTTACTGAAACCATAAATGGGTAAATATTGTGCCTACTTTAACTTGCTTTTCTCATTTAACAATATATCAACCTAAAAGCACACACCACTACCACATTTTAAAATATAGTTGCACATTATTCTTTTTAGCCAGGTTCCTGTGTGGGGTTATATATGTGTTTTTGTTTGTTTGTTTTTGGTTTTTTTCCTACAAACATTGCTGCAATGATACACACATTTATGTCCTTGTGGCTGTATATCTGTGGAATAAGTTCCTAGAAGTATAATTGCTAGGTCATGAAATACGTACATTTAAAATTTTGTTGGATATTTGCTCTCCAGAAAAGATTGCACCAATTCACCAATAATGAGAGTTGAGCTGAGCTTCCATGAACCTCCTACTTGAGTAGGGCAAGCTTCCTGTTCACCCCTGTCTTTATGCTTTTCTGCTTTCCTGTTACATTCATTCTAGAGACAACGCCCTTCTTGTTAAGCTGGAATTAGTCATAGTCGAGATACTGTCCAGATTCAAGAAATTGAGCTGCCACCATCAAGCAAAGGGAGCACTCAGGGCTCAGCCTGGAATGCCGTCCCTCACTCTCATTAGACCAGACAGCTTGGCAATTAATTAGGGCCCAGCTGTTCCTGATGAGTGGGCCCTGCCTTTCTGTCAGACTGAAAGCCCAGCAAAGCCGGGGACCCTGTGATGTCATGCTTCTCTGCTCTATTTGTGTCAACAGAACATACTGTGAAGTTGTGATATACAATAAGTATTAATATATTATCTTGACCCAAGTAGGTTGCATGGACAGCCCAGGTGGGTTCAGAGTGGCTCAACTATGAGGGGATGCCTAGTTACTGAGAAGCTTATTATGGCGCTCAGAGAAGTAGTCAGGGCCAACTTTTAGAAATTGCAGCTCTCCTGTTTACCTGTAATCATTTCAGCTGGAATTAAAAAGCAGGTCAGCTAAAATGAGTCAGCCTGTGAAGCATTGTATTTAACTTGGATTCACCTGGAAAGGTATCTTGTCTCATTTTGCCTTTCTCACCCTTGAGTCTACTTGGTTTCAATTTTAGAATGAGAAATTTAATGACAAATACAGTGATGTAACATACTGTACATACACTCCATGAAATTTAACAGATTTTACTTTTCATACTGGGATGAGGTTTTCCATTTTATTTTTTAAGCAAATGAACTATTTACTAACCACAGATCACTAAATGGTAAAGTATTCACTAATAGCGTGTCACCTATAAACTTAGTCATTGTACAATGAACTTTTATTATGCAAGTAACTCAATATATAATTTCTGTGAAATTCAACAGATTTTTTAGACTAGGTTGAGGTTTGGGGTTTCATTTTTGAACATTGCTTTTGAGCAAATGAAATATTTACTGACTGCAGGTCATGAAGCAATAAAATACTTATATAATAAATCACTTATACGTTCATGTGGTTGTTTACATAATTTATTTATTTTTTGAGATGCAGTCTTGCTCTGTCACCGAGGCTAGAGTGCAGTGGCGTGATCTAGGCTCATGGCAACCTCCACTTTCCAGGTTCAAGCAATTTTCCTGCCTCAGCCCTCAGAGTAGCTGGGACTACAGGTGCACACCACCATACTTAGTTCTTTTTTTTTCTTTTTTTTTTTATTTTTAGTAGAGACGGGGTTTCACCATGTTGGCCAGGCTGGTCTCCAACTCCTGACCTCAAGTGATCTGCCCACCTCAGCCTCCCAAAGTGTTGGGATTACAGGCGTGAGCCACTGCGCCCACCCACACATAGTGAAATTTATTGTTTCTATTTAATAAAAGGAGTACTTGCTAGTTGCTAGTGATATAAAGATGAATGAAACACAGTCTCTACTTTGAAGCAGTTCAGAGTTTAATGTAGAAAGACATAAAACTGTGACAGATACCAAGAAAGAGAAGAGATTGAAAAACAGAAAGTGAAGGGAACAAAAGAAGGAAGGCCTAATTCTAGTGGTAACTATAACAGTCTGGGTGGTCATTTAGACTAGAGAAGATAGATTACTCTGGTAAGTATCCAGGAACACTTTGTGGGTGGTGGGACAAGTTAGGCCCTGATGACTGACTGGATGCAGTGGTGGTAAGGGTGACATGACCACCAGGACTGAAGGGATAGCGATGCCACCAATTAAGAGAAAATTTAAGAGTAGGTTCAGAGGAAGTCAGTGAGTTTCGATTGGAACACATTGAGTTTGAGGCAGCTATGAGCATTCCAGGTTCATTCACTCGTTAAATAATGTGCTGTCTATTGAGGTTATGGTGGTGAAAATCTGCTGTTAGATGTTACTGCTTCCCTGAGATGTAGGAATCTGAAATTGGGTGGAGAGGGTAGGGCTGGAGATAGGCTTGGGGATCCTTGGTTTGCATGTGGTTGCTCAAAACATGAGGCTGGATGGCATTGCCCAGGAAGAGTATGCAGAATAGGAAGAGCTGTGGTCTGAGGATAACATTAGGGAATACCAGCATTTAAGGGTAGGAAGGGACTTGAAGAAGTTGGAGTGGGAACCATTTGGCAGGGACAAGAGGAACCAAGAAAATGCAGGAAATCCAAGACTGGGAAGAGTTCAAGACCAGAAGTGGAGACATTATGTCAGATGCCACCAAGGCTCTAATACTATAATGTTTATAAAGCCCTTTTAACAGTGTGGTAAAGGGCTTATATTTTAACATTTAGTGAAAGCAGGTCCTCATGTTTTCTATACAGTAAAATCTCAAATGTTTAAAGATGCATAGGGGAAAAAAGCTGATTAGTCTAAAATGATAACAGTGATTTTCACTGGATGACTGATTTTTTAATTTTCCTCATAATTTTTTGTGCTTTCTACATCAATCTTGTGGTACTTTTATAACCAGGAAAAAAAATTTAAAAATAGAGCCATAGTGCCCATTATAACAATTGTTTGTATTTGTCTGAAGCAGAAAGGCTGCCTGTTAGATTATATATGGGACAGCCAAATTGGTTTTCTGTGCTTAAACTGTTTTGGTCAGTGGAATAAAGTTTTGGGGGCTATTAGAGGCTAGCAGATTAGTGTCTGCTATTTTATAGATGTTGATGGAAAAGTAAAATGACTGTTATAGCTATTGTGTGTCATTGCTTGTCTGCTTGGTTCAACAAACTTGGTTTCTCATAAAATAGATGCTTATTCCCACCTGAAGAATTAAGAACTTGCACTGTGAAAACATTTGATAAAATTACATGTTCTATTATTTTTTCCTCTTTTCTAGATAGAAGTGGATTCTGTGATGTCTTCAGTAAATCCAAATACTTCTGGTAATGTGAAAGTTAATATTTTTAGTACCTTATTTAGACACTGAGATGGCTTGACTGTGTCCCTACATCAATCTCATCTCAAATTCCCATGTGGTGTGGCAGGGACCTGGTGGAAGGTAATTGAATCATGGGGGCAGGTTTTTCCCATGCTGTTCTCATGATACCAGATAAGTCTCATGAGATCTGATGGCTTTCTAAGGGGGGATTTCCCTGCATAAGCTCTCTCTTTGCCTGCTGCCATCCATGTAAGATGTGACTTGCTCATCTTTGCCTTCTGCCATGATTGTGAGGTTTCCCCAGCCACGTGGAACTGTAAGTCCATTAAACTTCTTTCTTTTGTAAATTGCCCAGCCTTGGGTATGTCTTTATCAGTAGCGTGAAAGCGGACTAATAATACTCACAAAATGAAAATTAAAAACGGAAACTAGGCTGGGTGCGGTGGCTCACGCCTGTAATCCCAGCACTTTGGGAGGCCAAGGCGAGTGGATCACCTGAGGTCAGGAGTTCGCACCAGCCTGGCAAAGATGATGAAACCCCGTCTTTACTAAAAATACCAAAAATTAACTGGGCGTGGTGGTGGGTGCCTATAATCCCAGCTGCTCGGGAGGCTGAAGCAGGAGAATCACTTGAACCAAGGAGATAGAGATTGCAAAGAGCCAAGATTGCAGCATTTGCACTCCACCTGGGCACCATTGCACTCCAGCCTGGGTGACAAGAGTGAAACTCTGTCTCTAAATAAATAAATAAATAAAAACTATATAGCATTATATTTAAGCACATCTTTGTTTTGTTTCTCGTTGTCCAAAAGGTTTTGGTTGTTTTTATTTTATTTTTTAATTTTTAATTTTTGTAGGTGTATGTATAGAGAGGTGGTACATGAGAAGTTTTGATGTAGGCATGTTATGTGTAATAATCACATCCTGGGAAATGGGATAACTATCCCCTTGAGCATCAATCCTTTGTGTTACAAACAGTCCAATTATACTCTTAGTTATTTTTAAATGTTTATTATTTTGACTATAGTCACCCTATTGTGCTATCAAATACTAGGTATTACTAGTCACATCATGGAGAATGGGGTATCCTTGCTATCAAGCATTTATCTTTCGTGTTACCAAAAATCCAATTATACTCTTTTGGTTATTTCTTAATGTACAATTAAGTTGTTATGGACTATAGTTACCATGCTGTACTATCAAATACTAGGTCTCATTCTTTTTTTTTTTTTTTTTTTTTTATCCGTTAGCCATCCACACCTCTCCCCAACTCCCCTACTACCCTTCCCAGCCTCTGGTAACCATCCTTCCACTTTCTTTGTCCATGAGTTCAATTGTCTTGATTTGTAGATCCCAAAAGTGAGAACATGCAGTGTTTGACTTTCTGTGCCTTATTTGACCTAACATAATGACCTCCCATTTTCATCTGTGTTGTTGCAAATGACAGGATCTCATTCTTTTCTATTGCTGAGTAGTACTCCACTGTGTGTACCACATTTTCTTTATCCATTCATCTGTTGGTGGACACTGAGGTTTCTTCCAAATCTTGCCTATTGTGGACAATGCTGCAACAAACAGTATATGAGAGTGCAGATATCTTCCATATGCTGATTTCCTTTCTTTTGGGTATATACCCAGCCGTGGGATTGCTGGATCATATAGTAGCTCTATTTTTAGTTTTTTGAGGAACCTCCAAATGGTTCTCCATAGTGATTGTACTAATTTACATGCCCACCAGCAGTTTATAAGAGCTCTCTTTTCTCCACATCCTTGCCAGCCTTTGCTATTGCCTGTCTTTTAGATAAAAGCCATTTTAACTGTGGTGAGATATTATTGTAGTTTTGATGGCATTTTTCTGATCAATGATATTGAGCACCTTTTACATATGCCTGTTTGCCATTTGTATGTCTTCTTTTGAGATTCTTTTAATTTTGATTATTTATAAATATGTTTATTACAGGGAAATTTTAAACTGTTGAAGTGCATAAAGAAAAAATATCACTCATAATTTTAACATTCAAAAAATGATACTAGGTTTTCTGACTTTTGCATCTGGATGAATGGACATGGCACCTACTGAAAAGAGAAGATGGCAGGCGGGTGGGGCCATGGGGTGGGGGCAGGGGGCGGGCAATGCTTGGGGGTAAGGGAGACTAAGAGCTCAATTTTGAATATGTTTGAGAAGTGTTAGTTTACTATGTCCAAGCAGTCAGACTGGATGAATTTCAGAAGTAAGTTCTGGGCTGAAGAAATGTGGGAGTCATCAACCTGTAGACAGATTTTAAAATAATGAGAATGGATGAGACCACTTAGAGAGAGTGGACTGAGAATGTTAAGAACTCTAGCCAGTAGAAGTCAGGTGGAAGATGAAGAAATGGCAAAGGAGACTTAGGAGTGATGGAGGGGCAAGAGGAAAATCGAGTGTTTGATCAAAAACCAAGAGAAGTAGATATTTTAATGAGGAAGGTGTGCTCAGCACTATCAAATGCTCCAGAAAGGTGAGGTGGCATAACTGATGAGTATCCTTTGCAGTTGGCCACCTGGAGGTGTTTGGTGACTTTAGCATTTCAAAGTGTGGTGACGGCAGACTGGGTTGAAGATAAGTGGAAAGTGATGGTAAAGTGTGACAATGTGAGTAGATGAGGCTTTCGTTAAGTCCAGAGTGGCAGTGGATCAAGATATGTTTTGTTTGCTTGTGATTGTTAATATTTAAATGGAAGAATGTGTTCCCAAGCTTTGCCGAATGATCTAGTGAAGAGGAGGAAAGAAGATGAGAGAGAGGGAGGGAAGAGACCTGTTGTGTAAGGGGAGAGGATCCAGAGCATGTTGAATTGGCTTTTTAAATATTACCTTTTTTTGAATAATTTAAAACTTCCAAAAAGTTCAAAATAAATTAGTACAGAGAATAGCTTACTCTCTGTATAAGGTACACCTTTTACCCAGATTGACATTGTTAACATTTTACCCCATCTTCCTTCTCCTTTGCACTTTCTACCACTATCCCTTTCTCTTCTGTACTGAACATAACCACAGTATGCTTATCATGTTCATAAATATAGGTTGATACTGTGTTTTATCTGATTTATCATCTATATTTTGTCGGTTGATCTAATAACATCCTTAATAGTATCTTTCCTTTTTTAGTATTTTAAAAAATCATAAGTGTATCTAGGGAAAAAAAAGACACATTATGTGAATAGGAACAAAGCTAAAAATGACAGCAGTTGGCTGCTGGTGGTGACTGACACCTGTAATCCCAGCACCTTGGGAGGCCAAAGCAGGAGGATTGTTTGATGCCAGGAGTTCAAGACCAGTCTGGTCAACATAGTATGAGACTATCTCAACAAAAAAGCAAAAAAAAAAAAACAAAACAAACCATAGCCAGGCATGATGGCACGTGCCTATAATCTTAGCTACCTGGGAGGCTGAGGTAGGAGGATCCCTTGAGCCCAGGAGTTTGAGGTTGCACTTAGCCATTATCACACCACAGCACCCCAGCCTGGGCGACAGAGTAAGACCTCATCTCTTAAAAAAGTTAATTAATTAATTCAAAAGAAGAAGAAAATGGGAACAAGAATAGATGGAAATAGACAAGTAGAAAACAAACAATATGGTAGATTTAAATCCAGTCATTAATGTTTTAGTTAGATGTAAATGATCTCAACAGCCCCATTGAAAGGGAGATACTGTTAAATTAGATAAACGAGTACAAACTAACTCTGTGTTGCCTAGAAGCCCACTTGAAATATAAGGGCAAAAAAAATTAGAAATATATACTGTACTGAACACTAACCAAAAGAATGCCAAAGTGAGCATGTTAATATCAGATGCAGTAGACTTCAGAAGAAGGAATAGTACCAGGGATAAGGACAGCCAGTTCATTAAGGGAATTAAATATTTATGCCCCTGGCTGGGTGTCATGACTCAAGCCTATAATCCCAGCACTTTGAGAGGCCAACACAGCCAGATCACTTGAGGCCAGGAGTTTGAGACCAACCATGATGAAACCCCATCTTTATGAAAAAATACAAAAAAATTATCTGAACATGGTGGTGCATACCTGTAATCCCAGCTACTCGGGGGGCTGAGGCACGAGAATTATTTGCGCCCGGGAGGTGGAGGTTGCAGTGAGCCCAGATTGCACCACGACACTCCAGCCTGGGTGACAGAGCAAGACTCTGTCTCAAAAAAAAAAAAAAAAAAAAATCCCCTAATAATGGAAATTCAAAATACATGAAGCAAAAAACTAATAAAACTGTAAAGAAAAATGGACAAATCCATGATCATGGTAGGAGGCTGCAACACCCCTATCAATAATTAATGAAGCAAGTAGACATAAAATCAATAAGGATATAGGAGACGTGAACAACACTGTCAACCAGTGTGACCTAATTGTCATCTATAGAATGTTCTACCCAACAACAGCAGAATACACATTCTTTTCAAGTCTACACAGTATATTTAATAAAATTGGTCATACTCTGGGCCATTAAACATGTCAATACATTTAAAGTACAAAGTATGTTCTTTGTGATGGAATTATATTAGAAACCAATAGCAAAGCTGTCTGGAAAAGTTGCAAATAGTTGTTCCAAATAAAAGTTTAAAAGTTCCAGATAAATAGTACACTTCTAAATAACTCATAGGTCAAAGAAAAAAAGCAAAAGGGAAAAATTAGGAAGTATTTTGAATTGAATGTAAAGACCACATTTCAAATTTTGTAGGATGGATTGAAAGCAATACTTGGAAAGTGGTAGTACTAACTTTCTATGTTTGGGAAAGAATAAATGTCTCAAACTGATGACCTCAGCTTCTACCTTTAATTAACTTCCACCTTTAACTACAAAAAAGAGTAAATAAGGCCCAAAATAAGTGGAGGAAAGGAAATAGTAAAGATTGTAATGGAAATTGATGAAATTGGAAAGAGGACAAACAAAAAAAAATTAAAAGCTGATTTTGTTGAGGTAATCAATAAAAATGAGAAACTACTACCCACACTGAGCA